TTTAATATTCTTTGTATTGTTAAAAACATCTTAATTATTGTTTTTCCTAACACATTCTGAAGTCTGAAACAGCTACTAGACCCGAGTGAAGCTTTTAGTGGCCACTTTTGCTAGGATTTGCAGTAAGACATTGCCAAATCCTATTTTGCACAGGACTAACAATTAGTATCCTTTATCATTTATGTATTGCCCTACATAGAAAAATATTTGAAGACCAGAGAGGCAATACATAGGTAAGACACTTGCCTTACATGTTATCCTCTGGGGTTTGATACGGTTCTCCAAGTACCACCAGGAGAGTCCCCTAAGCACAGAACCAGGAGTGAGCCCTGAGCACTGCTGGGTGTGGCTAAAAAAAAATTTAAAAAAGGAAAAAAATTATCTAGCTTTTACTATAAAATCATGAACTAAGAACTTTAAAATGTATATTTTGTTACATCCATCTCTGATCTTTTTTCTAATATAGGGAATGGCAACTACTTTAGGTAACAAGACAGTCCTACCAAAGAAACTTTCCAGTTGATTAGACTTTTTATTTATTTTTGGTGGTGCTGTTAAACTTACCACCTCACACATTCAATGCAAATGCTCTAATAATTCAACTACATCCTGACCCCAATTTTTTTCCTTAAAGCTAGCTTCAGGTTTTTATTTTCCCTGAAGTCCAATAGCCTGAACCAAACAGAAGATAGAAGCAGAAGATAAAACAGAAGAAGATAAAACAAAATTGTTCAATTTGAATATCACCATTTAGGGTCATTTCAGTCAAAATATTTTATCTAATGAGAAGAGCAGGAGCATCACTGATGGTAAAGTGAATAATTTTTAAAGTTAAACTAACAATCTTAAGTCTTTATCTGTATAGCTCTCAAAAACTATGCTACTTTTTCTACACTTTAAATTAAAACTTTTACAGTCAAGTATTTTAAGAATAAGAGCACTTCAAGAATACTCAAAGCCAATATTTCTTGGCTTTTCCTTTTGGAAAAGATTCCATTTTCTCATACAGTTTTACTTTGCTTTGTAAGTGGAAAGACCAAGAATCCCCAAGAATGCACCCCTCTCCTCCGCCCCCTCCATCTCCTGCCAAAGAAACAATTTTTTTAGAAACAATTTTTAAAGATTTAATTATGAAAAGGAAAGACTCCTTTCTATCACCACCACCTTTTTGGAACTTCATTTTTCTTTTTTTCTTAAACAAATGGATTCAATTTCATAATTATGACTTGAAAAGTATAATCTCCTTCGTACTTAAACCTTTTTAAGATGTCAGATGTTTTCTTCCTCGTAACCACAAGAAGAGATGCCTTCCAGTGACCAACTCACATTCCTGGGAATTTTCGGGTTTAAAAACCGAAGGGCACAATGCGGGGGAGAACACAGGGGTTATGACATTTGCCTTGCTTATGGCCAACTCTTGTTTGATCCCTAGCACCACAGTATGATCCTGCAGCATCCCCCAAGAATGGCACCTGAGCACAGAACCAGGAGTAAGCCTTGAGCATTGCCTGTTGTGACCCCAAAACTAACAACTATATTGCTTTTTTTATTTTTTGTAAACCTGGCAATTATTTGCTTTCTGTCCATCTGCAATGTAGTCTGTATTTGGGTGTTAAAAAAGAGAGAGGCCGGAGGGGGCACTTGCCTTGCATTTGGCCAACCTGGGTTCCACCTCAGGAATCTCATTTGTTCCCCTGAGCCCCACCAAGAATGATCCTTGAGTTCAGAGCCAGGAGTAAGTTCTGAGCGCTGCTTGTGTGGCCCCAAAACCACAGCAAAACAGGGAGAAGAGGTAATTCGATACATAAAAATCCTAGAACAGGACATGAAAACCGGTTGGAAAGTCAATCCTGCTTCCCGCCTTCTCCCCTCTCCCCAAGACGCCAGGACTAAATACCTTAATTTGGTTTTCCAAGTTTATTCCCAAGTCTAAGACACCTGTAACAACATTCCAGATGCTTTTGTTCCCCTGAGGGCTGAATTTTAACTGCACCCAACAGGTCAGAAGTTTCCAACCAAGGGACAATTGTTATTTAAAACCCTTCTTACAAAAACTCTTGTCACTAACATTAGATCCCCTCCAGTGGCTGGAAATGTGAACTCCAACAGAATACTAAAGGAATAATGACACCTAGGACAGAGGTCTCAAACTGAATGGTAAGATTAGTGGGCTGTAAATAGCATTAAAAAAATAACAATGGTGGTCAGAGAGAGAGACAGAGACAGAGAGCTGTGACTGTATGCTGTGAAGGTATGTGTGAGGCCCAGGTTAGATCCCTGGCACTGCATGGTCCCCAAGATACCTTCTACTGATCCTGAGCACCCTGTGACCCACACCCCAAAACAATAATAATGATGATGAATAGAACATAAAGTTAGTAAAGCTTTCTTGGTTTTTATATACTGGGCCACAACATTTTATCCAAAATGGTAACCCCAGAGAAGTAATTTTAAATCAGTAGGTCAGAGAGAGAGCTCAATGTGCTGGAACACGTGTTTTGCATACAGGAGGCTGGGTTTGATCCTCGGCCAAAACCAGCAGAAGTGACCGCCCGCCCCCTTGCCCAGCCAGCAGTGAGCCTGAGTAGCCACCAAGCACTGCCAGGTAACCCCAAAACTGAAATTCCTATCATCAGCCTCCACTGTAAAGGTTGTGTTTTTGTTTAGTTTTTTTGCCCAATAATGTAATCACTCACTCTATTGCTATCCCTTTCCAAACTGAGCTAAGTCGAGAGTTATTTCCAGTCTCTCTGGCTGGAAACCAGAAAAGGCAAGTGACTCCAGTCCCTACCAGAACATGCAAAGGCTCCAAAACCTGGTCTGGCTTTTGGTTCTGTCTGACACTGCAGTTTCTCAACTTTGATTTGTGGGGGAAATAAAGATTAGACTTAGCAAGAACAGAAACATTCCTTCCCATTCCAACAGTCCAGAATTATTCTTCAGCTTTCTCCGGGCTAAAACAAAGGTGGGAGGTGAGTCAAGTCAGGAGATCTTGCATTGCTTAGCCCGGGGACTGCCATGTTCTGGCTCTTGCCTAGGAAACTTCCAATCTGCTTCGACTTCCTCTCTCCTTACACTTAAAACTCCAAAGTCACATATTTTGCTTTCCCATGCAAAATAAGACCTCTTTGTTGACATTAAATTTGAGGAATAGCAGAAAACAACCAACCTATTACAAAAAATAGTCTGTGAAACCTGCCAAATCTTGTCACTGTGTGCTCAGGTTTTCAGAGAAACTTGAGTTTTGAAAGGTGGGATATTTGTTGTTAGTGTTGTTGAAAACTGTAGCACTGTAGCGTTGTAGCACTGTCCTCCCATTGTTCATCGTTTTGCTCTAGCGGGCACCAGTCACGTCTCACAACAAATTGTAAGACTTGTTACTGTTTTTGGCATATGGAATACATCATGGGAAGCTTGCCAAGGCTTTGCTGTGTGGATGAGATACTCTCAGTAGCTTCCGGGCTCTTTGAGAGGGGGGAGGAATCGTACCTGGGTGGGCTGCCTGCAAGGCAAACGCCCTACCCGCTGTGCTATCTGCTCCAGCCGTGTTGAAAACTAAAGAAGATAAATTTTCACTGTGCAAAACCCTTCAGTTGCTCATGTTTCTAATATTCCCTAGTCACTCCGGTAACCTGTGAGACCTTGGACAGAGCTATGCAGTCATCACTGACTTTTTTTTTTACCCCCTTTTCTCTCTCCTAGAAGTTCCTCCTTTAGGTGACATGTAGGGCTCTTACACATCTGGTCCCCGACATAAACTGGGAAACTTTAGATTCTCAAATTTAGAGGTTAAAAAAATTCTCAATGATAATTTGATAATTGTTAGCTCTCCTTAGTATTAACACTTTTAAAAAACTAGAGAGGCTTAAATCAAGTCTCTGAATGGTGGCATTTCAGGGACTTGGGTATCAGTGCCAGAGGCTTTGAGTTAAAGGACCTTATTTTCCTGGCCCCTGACGGTTACCTCCATATATTCTGTTAAGAGCTGGTTGGCATCTGGGCTAGCAAGGACCTGGATGATTTCATAATAAATCTTCAGACATACTGGCATGATGTGAGTGTGGAGGCAATTGCAGTGCGTATTTCCCTGGATTTGTGACTAGCACCTCTAGACACCACACCCACCACGGAAAAAAAGAAGACTATTTCAATTAGAACTTTTCCAGACCAGCTTTTACCAGTAATATATATAGGTGGGTGCCTAAGTACCCTGGCACCAATACAACAATTTCATAGGGAATTCTAACTCCAGGGTTACCTTTACCAGGGCTAGAGGGGCACACCGAACAGTGCTCAGGGCTCACTTCTGGAGGGGCTCGGGGAAACGTATCGTGTGGGGTACCGGGAATCGAACCCGGGGAGGGGGGCTGCATGCAAGGCAAGTGCCCTCCCTGCTGTACTATCTATCACTCCGGATCCCAGGGTTATCCTTTTGAGAACACACTGCATAGGGCAAGGTAAGGAAAGACGGTTTCATAGGCTGGAAAAGCAACTTTTCCGTTTCTTCTCCTGACTCAGTCCTGTACTCTGGACGTTCAGGACTACTGAATGGGAACGAGTCGAGGTACAGCTGAATTACCCGCTATCTGCTTTTGCAGTTCTAACAGCATCCTCCAAGAGGGTGGTCTGGGGCCCGCGGCTGGAAGCGGGAACCGCCAAGCCTGCTGGAGGCAGAGGGGTGGCTCCAGTGGTCACCTGGTGGAGACCGGAGACGGGGATGGAGAGTGGAAAGTGGGCGAGGAGTGCGAAACAGCGTCCTCGCCCAGGCATCCCGACTCCCGCCGCCGCCGCCGCCGAGCTGGGCCGGCCGTGCCCGGGGCCGCAGCCCGTCCCGGAGCGCCCTCGAGCGCCCCCGCGCGCCCGGCCGGGGCGGCGCGCCTCCCGCGCTCCCTCGGCTCGGGCGGGCTGGGGGCGCGGCCGCTGGCCCGCGTGAGCGCGCGCGCGCGCGCGGCGGTGGGGGGGGCGGGGGCGGGGCCGTTGCGCGGGGTCGCGCGCGCGGGGCCGCGGGCAGGGGGGCGGGGCGGCAGAGCTCAGCGGCTGGGCCTGGAGGACAGCGGCTGCGAAGGCAGCGAGCGTCGGTGCGCGCAGCGGCGAGCGGCCTTGCGGGACCCGGGCGACAGGGAGCGCAGAGGTAACGCGCTGCGGAGCCGACGGGCAGGGAGTGGGTGCGGGGTCGCCGGGCCCCGCCGACGAGCGGCGGACGAGGCCGCTCGCCCGGGGCTGCCGACGCCGCTCCTCGAGAGGAGGGGGCGGGGCGCGCGGTCCCTGGAGGTGGCGCCTTTTGTCTGCCGCCCCCGGCCGTTCCGCCTCCCCTCCCCTGCCCCGCCGCCGCCGAACCCCCTGCCCCCTCGCTGGCGCCCGCTCCGGGGCCCCGCGGCGCGCGCTCCCTCCCTTGTTTTGTTTGGACCCGGGGGGAGGGGGGAGGGAGCGGGGAGGCGGGTGGGGGGGCGCCTTCCCCGGGGCCCGACCCCGCGGCCCAGCGCGCCTGCGCCGGCGTCCCTCCGCCGCGCTGCGATTGGCCGAGGCCCGGCGCATGCGCTCGAGCGCTCCGCCGGCCCTGCCGCCGCCCCCGCCCCGCCCCGCCCCCCAGGCCCTCGGCGCTCCCCGCAGCCGGTTTGAAGGATGCCGGCGGCCGTGAGTGGCTGCGGCGGGCCCGCCTCCCCGCCCCCCGGCTCCCCGCCCCCGCCGCCGCCATTACGGAGCTCCCGGGGGTGAGTGCGCCGCCCGGCCCGGAGCCCCGGCCGCCCCCGCCCGCCCGCCCAACCGCGCCGCGCGCCGGCCTCGCGCTGCCGCTTTGTCTCCGCTTCCCGCTGGGCACCGGGTGGGCTTCGCCGCCGCCGCCGCCGCCGCTGCTGCCGCCGCCGCTCAGGCGAGGGGGTCTGTCCGCTCGCGGGTGGAGGGTGGGAGGCGGGAGCCGCGAGGTGACGGCCCAGGGCGCGTCTCCCCGCCCTTGCCGAAGGAGCGAGGACCCGGGCCGGGGTCCCTCCGGATAGGCCCCCGGGTGGGGGGCGGGTGCCCGGTCGCGGGAGGCCGCCGGGGGTGGCCCGGGGACGCGGGGCCGAGTCGGCCGGCCGCGCTTTGTGCGAGGCGGCCCGCGGGGACCGGCCCCGGCGCTCGGCCCGTCGGCGCGTGCGGGGCCCGAGACCGCTCCTGCGCCCGACCCACGCGGCTCCCGGTCCCCTCCGCCTCCGGGAGCGAGGCCCGGGCGCCCGCGGGTGTGGCCCGCAACGCAGCCTAGTGGGTTTCGGTGTCGAGTATTCTTTTTTGTGCTTCTGTAGTTTAGTTGTGTTTTTCTTTTAAAGCGTATTTGAAAGCTTGAGGACAGTTGAAGTCGGAGAAGGGCGTGAAGCCGCACTTAAAAGGTAGATAGAGGGAAGAAAGTCTTGGCCAGTTTTGCCCGTGTGGTCCGGCACAAGAGGGCTCAGTCGTCTCCCTGTCGTACCCTGTGCCCAGGGTGGACAGGAGTTAGACTCACACTCCAGTGTTGACATAGGAATCTGGGAGGAAAGCGGCTAGGACTGATCGGGTGTGCTTTGAGTGACGTGACCCATCAGGGATGAGAATTGTGAAACATCGGATTGGTAGCAGTTGATGATGTCTTCGCTGCATCGCTGGTGGCATAGTAATAGATCGCATCTATTTTTATGGTAAATGTGAAATGATGAACCAAGGCGATAGTGCAGGAGTTCAGGCCCTTGCCATGCATGCATGCAGCCAATCCCACTTGAAATTCGAGCACTGCCAGAAATGGCCCGTGAACACTTCCAGGTGTGGCCCAAATCCCAGTCACACCCCAAAATAAAAAAACTTATCTAAGTACTTTTACCTAAATTGCATGTTATCAAATATATTTTAAAGCTGAAATGCGTTGTTTAACTTTTTTCTGTTGCCTTCTTGATGAAAAGAAAGCACGTTAAAATGCTGAAACTTTTTAAATTTCTAAAGTCACCTACATAAAAGCAATTTAAGCATTTTTCTTGATGTAAGCAAATTTTTGTACTGTTATTCCAATAGAATTTAAAATGAAATAAGAGGTTATGGGATTCATGTGGCAAGACCCTCTGTTGGATCCCTCTTAAACAGATCTCATTAGTGGCTGGCTTAAACATCACTGGGAATTAGTCCCAGCGTACACACCCCTCAGCAGATAAACTCTGATTCAGATTACTTCAGGCACAAACAGGAACCCAAGTGATAAACTTTTCCATTAAGTGTCATCTCTTCACTAGACTTGACCATCATTGAGCACCTCTTGTGTTCTTAGGCACCAAATACTTACCCGGTGAACAAGCTACTTAACGTTTTTGGTAGGATCAACTGTGGGAACCTAAAAGTAATCAGTCAGATGTGCAACAACAAAGAATAGATACTTGATGGTGTTAAAGTCGTGAGTTAACCATCCTGTAGTTTGGTTAGCCCTTCTGTGAAGTGGACATATTTAAAGACTCATGTACAAAGTCAGTGTTTTAAGATCCATGACCTTTATGAAATTCAGAGCTGAGGCAGAACATTTATTACTTTACCTTTTTCCTCCTACAATTCCCTGTGTAGTGCTTGAAGGATCAAACTAGGGACTCCTGAAGGCAAAACATGCCTTTGAAGCCACCTCCTGACCCACAATCATTTCCTTATTTTTCATGAACACTGAATATGTTAAGTTGTACTGCAAATGCCATTTTTTATTTTTCTTTTTTTTCTTCTGTTTGAGTCACACTCCACGATGCTCAGGGGCTACTGCTGGCTCTGCATTCAGTAATCACTCCTGGCGGTGCTGGGGAGACTATATGGGATGCTGGGAATCAAACCCAGGTTGGCGACATATAAGGCAAACTATTGTGCTATTGCTCCAGCCCCGCCATTGTTTCTTCAACTTTCTTTTCAGGATGAGGTCTGGACCACATCCAGAGGGACCTGGGCTGTTTCTGACCCTGTACTCAGGAATGACAGCCTTCCCCCACCCTCACCCCCAAAATACCCAGGATTTGGATCATGGTCTGCAGCATGCAAAGCGAGCACCTTAACCCCTATACTATCCCTCCCCATCAGCCTTTTTTTCTTTTCCCATTGTTTGTTAAATGTCCATTTATATATTAGTGATATAGATGCAGGGAATTTGTTGGTAGCCCCTGTAATGCCTACATTCACTTCATTGGAAGAGACAAACTCAACATGAAAACATGTATGTTGAATTTCAGATAGTATTAAGTGTTCAAAGAAACCTGAAGTAAGGATGAGTGCACAGGAGTAGGGTGGGATACTGATCAGAAACCGGGTTGAAAAGGACCCCAGTTTAAAAAAAAAAAAAGTTCAAACCTAAGGCAGGGGTATTGCATCATGGTCCCAGGGTTATCACAGGTAGGTGGTCTGTGTCTGGAGCCAGAGTGGAATGGTGGTTTAAAAAAAGTTTAGGAGAATGCCAGAACCTCCAAAAGATTGGCAAACAAACTTCTCAGTTATTCCAATCTGAGTATATTTTTAAGGTGGGCTCATTTAAATTTACCGTTTTTTGTCTTTGGGTTAATGGTACACCTGGGAGCTGCACCTATAGTGTTTAACCCATAGGGGTCACTCCCAGAGATAATCAGGGGCCATGTGGGGCCAGGGATTGAATTCAGGTCTTCTACATGCAAAGTTTATGCTTCAATCTCCAGGCCAAACTGGGAAGAAGGTCTGTCTTTTAAGTGAAAATAGCTTTTGTTTTATTTTGAATTTTTGAGTGAGAGAGAGAGTAACGTACTCAAGAGAGAACATGGGTTTCTCCAGAGGTGGAGAAAGCTGAGGGTCCACATCTCAAGAGGGGAGATGCTGGTGGCATGTGTGTGTTCGGGCAGCATGGACATGGGCAGCATGAACTGGCAACACATGCACGCTGAGAAAATCTGAGATGAACAGGAACTCCTGAAATTTCTATTGGTATCAGAGTAGCGTTTCAGCCTAGCTAGTGCTGTGGGTTAAGATTAGCATCACTGTACCAAGAATCACCTGATTGTGATTGTTTCATTTTTGCATAATGTTCATATTGTGACTGTACAGCATAGTTATGTAACATCAGCAGGTTCAGTTTGTGATGGTGGTTGGATGAATGAGCAGTTTTATTATATTGAAATTAAACCAACACTTGGACTTTAAATTGTGCCCTTCAATCCATCATGGTCCTTTGTAGCACAGACAACTTCTTAGTTTTAAGTAGTTTTATAGCTGTTGGGTTTGTTGTGGTTGTTGTTGTTTTTGAGACCACGTCTGGTGATGCTTAGGACTGACTCCTGGTTCTGTGCTCAGGAATTGCTCCTGGAGGTGCTCAGGACATACGGGTTGTCAGGAATTGAATCTGGGTCTGCCACATGCAAGGCAAGCACCCTACTGGCAGTACTATCTGGCCTCTGATAATTTTTAAATATCCATGCTATTCCTGATTTACTCTTAAAAGATTTTCTTCTCTGGGGGTTTGTTAGCTTGGGAGCCACACTCAGCCCAGCGCTCAGGCCTTACTCCTGGCTTGTGCTGAGGGATCACATCAGGCAGTGCTTGAGGGAGCTCTCTGGGCCTGGGGATCAAACCAGGGTTGTGTCCTTGCAAGGCAAGCAACTTGTCTCCTGTACTATCTGTTGGCCTTACTCTTTTCCATAAGTTTTAGTGTGCCACACTATCTTCAGTCTTTCCAGTTGCCTTTCCTTGCAGCTGATTAACAAACAGTTCAGGAGTCTTGGCATAAAAGTCTTGGTCATAAAAAGATTTTTCCTGTGTATATGAAAGCCCATTTAAATTTGTTAGATTTGTTTTTATTAGCGGTTCTCAGGGTTTACTATGCTCAGGGGACCATACGCGGTGCCCGGGCTCAAACCCAGGCCAGCACATAGAGAGCAAGCGCATAACTCACTGTGCTTTCTCTCTGGTCTCCTGAAAACCTTAAATACATTTGATTTTCCTGCCACCCCCACTTATTATTGCTTGGAATTATTGTCTGAGAAGTTGAAAACTGCAAGTCCTACACAGGTATAGATCCGAAATTACAAATTGAATGACTAATCTACCATTCCCCGCCTCTTTGTAAACATTAGCACTGAAATCTACATACTTCGATGTTTTCATGTTCTTATAAAATATCACCAAGTTCCAGATTAGATTTTTGAGGGGTGTGGGTATTAAAATAGGTAAATTTGTGTGACTATGGGTTTTGTTTTTGAATACTTATTTCTTTGTTTTGTACTGGTTTTGCTTGCGTTAAAACAAAGACAAGCGTACTTTTCTTCCAAGACATTGTCTAAATTTGCTTCTCTGGGTCTGGAGGCTTCTAGCATGCCATGTTCCACAGCAGGTTTTTTTTTTTTTTTTTTGTCCTTGATATACTTCTTTAGCAGAGATAGAGTTATGGTTACAGTTCATTTTCCTGATTCCTTTGAGATTATCATTAACAACAAAAGTCTTCAAAGTTGATCTTCAGTAAACATTTGACTGAAGTGTTTCTTACTATCCTCCTACCCATTCTAAGTTCCTGATGGTAGCAGGAGGGAATAGGGTTCCTTACGAGCTTTCTTGTCCTTTATTCATGGGAAGGTGCTATAGCTGCTGTGGCTTGTGCATTTGTCTTAGTCGCTGCTTTATATAGCTCATTATTTTGTTAGTAATTGTGTCTTTCTAAATGATAACTAACCAAGTAACTTTAAATTTTATTTACGTTTTTTTCTCCTTTGGATGTGTATTAAATTTAGACGTTTAAATTTAGTTTTGTTTCTGTTAATCTTCACACCAGGTCTTTTCTGTGCTTTAGGTTGCCTCTTCACCACACTGAAAACATTAGGAAAAATTCTTGTGGTAAACAGCAGAGGCTTCAGAGTGTAACCTGTATTCAGGCCCAAAAATTATTTTAAAATGGCAACTGATACGTCTCAAGGTGAACTCATCCATCCTAAGGCATTCCCTCTTACAGTAGGACCTCAGCTGATCCACACGGACAAGTTAGGTGAGGTAGGGGCTGACACATTCTTGAAGCTCACTTCTGGATCAGTCCCTGACTTCAGGCCCTGCTGGGTCCTTCTTGGTACATTTCCTTTCCCTTCTTTGGGGATTCTGGGTTATGATTCTGAAAAATATCTAAATGTTCTTTTCTGCTTTCCTTTCCCCTCAAGTTCCTGGAAAAAAAAAACCTTGAAATTTATTTCAAATCAAGTGTAATTGCTTGTTCCCGTTTGAAAATCTAGCCTAAATGTTTTGAAAAATTCTTTAAAATTATCACGTTTTACTTCCCCAAAAAAGTGTTAAAGATCATTTGTATCATATTCTGGAGTCAACTTGACAAATTCTCCTATATCTCCTGACACCCAGTTCGGGCCCCACCTCCCCAATCCCCCCACCCCCGAGGGAGAAAAAATAATTTTTTATTCCTGTATGATCATGGCCATCTTTTTTCTTAGAAGGTAGAGGATAGCACCATGCCGATTCGTCGATCTATGAATTCTACCCGGGAAACGCCTCCCAAAAGCAAACTTGCTGAAGGGAAGGAAGAAAAACCAGGTAAAGTAAAGCAGTGGCACAACTTTAAATGGCAGATTTCTACTCTGAAGTATCCTGTAAATTCCTTTTCATTTAATTATTTTGTTCTGGCTGTTTGGGAGGAGTGTTTTAAGAGATAAACTGGCTGGTTTATCTTCAGACCTTGTGGATAGGTAAAGGAAGGTAGAAATTTCAGTGTTCTTGGAATTAAATAGCGTAGTGTGTTTGAAGAAAATAAAAGGGGTTAACAACAGCAGCAAAATAGCTTGTTGATAGTACAGTGCAGAGAAGAGATTTAGTAGAGAAAGGCACATCCAGAATTCATCCAGAGACCTTTTTTTTGTTTTGTTTTTTGCTTTTTGGGTCACAACACCTGGTGATGCTCAGGGGTTACTTCTGACTACACTCAGAAATTACTTCTGGAAGTGCTCAGGGGACCATACGGGATGCTGGGAATTGAACCCGGGTCAGCCGCATACAAGGCAAATGCCCTACCTGCTGTGCTGTCACTCCAGCCCCCATCCAGAGACCTTAATGGAGCAAGTTAGAATGTTGGTTTATGACTTTCGTTGTAGGTGGAGAGAAGATTGGTCTGGTAGCTGGTAGCAGATGGAACATAATGAATGTAGAACACCAGCCTGGAGTATTAATGTTCCTTTAAGGCACCTCTAACCACTTTTCTTTTTCCTTGTTTTGCTTTTTTTTCTCACGACCTCCTTTTTTCTGCTCTCTGTCCTTCTATCCTTACCTTTTCCTTTCTTGCCTTTTGGGCTGGGCAGAAAAGGAAGGTTTGAGCATACCTGAGCCATTAGTCAGATGCTCATGGTTGTTTCTGGCAGCGCCAGAGGACCATGGGGTGCTGGAAGTTTAACCAGCATCAGCTAAGTGCAAGGGGGTGGGGTGGCAGGCAACTCCATCTGTGCTCAAGGCTTACTCTTGGCTCTGTGCTAAGGGATCACTCCTGGCGGGGCTCTGGGAACCATTTGGGATGCTAGGGATTGAACTCCTGATCAGTCATATGCATGGCCCTACTCTCTCCAGTCTCACTGTACTCTCTGTCAGGGATTTTAGAAGCATTACTGACGCACATAGATTATTAATAAGATGAACATGCAGCTTCTGTTCTTATTCCTTGGGTGTTCTGGGGATATGACTTATCCAACTAAGTCTGGGTTTTATCTCAAAATCCTCAAATGAGGAAGCAGTTTGGATAGCCTGGCCTGAGGTAGTTGGGAGATGTAAGAACCATCATATTGAAAAAATAAGTACTGGTGAACTGAAAGATGAGTCATCTTGTTCAGCAGTGTGATAAGCCACTCAATGGCCCATCTTTTTCCATGTATTTAATAGCCAGTTGAAACCACTAAGTTATGAATAATACCAGTTTTAGATTATATACATACTAAAGGGTGCAAATATCAGATTGTAAACCAGAATTGGGAAGAGACCAGTAAAGTACTTTGCAGGTTTTATGTGTTTTTATTTTTTATTTTTTTTTGCTTTTTGGGTCACACCCGGTGATGCTCAGGGGTTACTCCTGGCTCATGCACTCAGGAATTACTCTTGGTGGTGCTTGGGGGACCATATGGGATGCTGGAATCGAACCTGGGTCGGCCATGTTGGCTGCATGCAAGGAAAATGCCCTACCCGCTGTGCTATCGCTCCAGCCCCTGTATGTGTTTTTAATCTTTCTTCCCATCACAATATTTTGTGTGTGGAAATAATAGTATTTTACTCATTTTTTAATAATTTGTCAATTCTAAAATTAGAGCAGGTACACTCAGTTTAATGAATTGAGAACTGTCTTATACATACTACATAATTAATAACTTGAGTGACTGCCTTTATTTAAACTATAAACCGTTAAGCAATTATGCTCAAGAAGAAATAAAGCAGTAAATAATCATGAGTAATAGTGAATTCTTACACCCACACAGCCAATTAGGTCAAATCATTTGGGATAAGAGACAGTGAAATATAAATAATTTTTAACAATTATCTGTATTTTCAGGTGGCATTGTTAGGCTGAAATTTTAGCTTAATACTTTGCAAAATAGTTTTGAAGCAGTTTAGAAGCCCTGAGATGATAATCACATAGTAAAAGGGCTGCCTTACATACAGTCATCCCTTAAAGATTTTATATAATCTCCATCTATGAGCTCAGATTAGTAAGACTTGAGGATGTCAAGTAACTTGCCCTGAGATAAGCAGAGAAATAATAAAAGACTAACTTGAATCCAGGTGTATTGTCAAATCTCAAACCTTGATTTTGGCTGAACACAATGAGGGGATTTTAAATACATGTATAAATCTGGTTGTAGAGCATAATCCAGGATGAAGCTCACAAAGGATAGTTGACCATACTGAAATTTACAGTTTTTTTAAAGGGGGAGTCGGGGGAAGTGGAGTGAGGCGTTAAATCACTTCCAGCAATGGTCACTCTTGGTTCTGTGCACAGGGATTATTCCTGGTGGTGCTTGGAGATGGGGTGGGGGTGGGGGGGCTCCTCTTTGGTGCCATCTCAGCCTCCTTACCATCTGTATGATCTTTCTGACCTCACCAACTTCTAAAAATACATTGTTCTTGTTATTCACAGAATTTAATGACCAAACTTTTTCTTTCTTTTTGGGTCACACCCAGCAGATGCACAGGGGTTACCCCCGGCTCTGCACTCAGGAATTACCCCTGGCGGTGCTCAGGGGACCGAATAGGATGCTGGGAATTGAACGCGGGTCAGCCGCATGCAAGGCAAACACCCTACCCGCTGTACTATTGCTCCAGCCCCAAATGAACAAAATTTTTATGCTGGGGGACCATTAATGTGGTGTAGACAGTTGAACCCAGGTTGGCTGCATATGTACTTTCGCTCTGCCCCCCCATAGTCCTTTTTCTAAAGTCACAGTGTAACCATTTCTGAAACTTTGTTTTTATAGTTGCTGGGAGAACATGCAGACAAGATTAAAAATAACTGCAAACCACAGTATTTTTATTTTCATATTCTACCTTTACCCCAGTCGTTTCACTTAGAAAATACATACTAATTTTCTGTTACTGAGATTTGTCTGTCAAGTAATAAAGCAGATAATTTATTAGTTATGAATCTCATCATAAGGGACTGGATTCAGTCCCCTGTGCCACATATGTGGGCCTCACCAAAAGTGATGCCTGAGTGCAAAGCCATGAGTAAGCTCTGAGCACCACTGGATGTGAGGCCCCCAATCTCCAAAAACATTTAGAGTAAAACTCAAGGGACTTGGTTTGGGTAGAATGAGTTTCTTTTCTGTAGTGTCTTTGTTCATCTCCTTTATGTTCTGAGTAAACAATCACTAGAAAAGGCATCTTGACAAAAAGTGAAAGAAAACTAATGCTCGGTTGTTATTCATTTTTTAACTTATCTGATAAAGCATTTGATTTAATTTGTTTTAGTAAGATCACATTTTACCCTTTTGTTGACTTGGGCATTAATATATGTATTTGATGTAATTCTGCCCACCTGCTTTTTTTTTAGAGCCAGATGTAAGTTCAGAGGAATCTGTCTCCACTGTAGAAGAACAAGAGAATGAAACTCCACCTGCTACATCAAGTGAGACAGAGCAGCCGAAGGGAGAACCTGAAAATGAAGAGAAGGAAGAAAACAAATCTTCTGAAGATACCAAAAAGGAGTAAGGAGTTAGCTTTCTTGCTATTGTTTATTGTTGAAGACTATATGAAAGAACTTAGATCAGTATTTTACCAAGTTTGAAATTGGCTATGCTAGATATTTTCTGTTTGAATATACTTTTCAAAATTATTTGAGGTCAGTTTATTACAGAATTGCATGGCATGTTAGAATTTGTAGTATTCAGCACAGCAGTGATTTGAAAGTTAAATTTGGAATGTGTTTTTGTGCTTAGAATTCATTTTGGGTGTATCTAATATTAAGCATTGACAAAATTTCACTAAGAGGTGAAATTTTGACTTGGAAGACCTTACCATTTTATTTACCATTGTGCCTCGATTGAGTAATGTTTAAGTTTTTGCTTTTTTTATTTTGTGGTTCCGGGAACTGAACCCAGAATCTCTAATATAAGATACTTGCTCTATCACAGAGCCATATTCCCAGCCCCAAGAGTGAGTTGGAGCCAGAGTGATAGTACAGCAGGTAAGGCACTTGCCTTATACATGGCTCACCTGGGTTTTAATCCTTGGCATCCCATTTGATCCCAGAGCAGCACCAGGAATGATCCCTGCAGAGCTGGGAATAACCCCTGAGTATTGCCACATGTGCCACACACCACCCACCCCCTGCCAAAAAATAAAAAAAGAGTTCATTAGGTACTTACATACCTATTTAAGAAACACTAGTCTATAACAGGCCATGGCTAAAGTGTCCAGAATTACTTTGCTAGGTATTGAACCTACAGTGTCAGACCTGTAAGACAAATACTCTAGAGGCTGGAGAGATAGTACAGTGGGTAGGGCACTTGCCTTGCCAACCAGATTCAATCTTCAGTGTCCCATATGGCCTCCTGAGCCCACCAGGAGTAAGCCCTGAGCACTGCCTGAAGTGGGCACCTCACTGTCCTACTGTCCTGGTGGTGTTTTTTTGGTGTTTTTTTATTTGTTTGGTTTTGTTGTTTTTTGGTTTGTGCTGGAGCAATAGCACAGCAGTAGGGCGTTTGCCTTGCGCGCAGCCAGCCCGGCCGCGGGTTCCGTTCCTCTACCCCTCTTGGAGAGCCCAGCAAGCTACCAAGAGTATCTCGCCTGCACGGTAAATTCTGGCAAGATACCCATGACAAATTAAGTATGTCAAACACAGTAACAACATGTCTCAAAATGGAGATGTTACTGGGCCCACTCGAGCAAATTGATGAACAACGGGAGGACATTGTTTGTTTAGTTTTGTTTTTGCAGAGGGCATACTGTCAGTACTCAGATCTTATTCCTGGTTATACAGTCAAGAATTATTCCTACCAGTGCTCAGGGAACTTTATGGGTTGCAAGGGACTGAACGTGGGCTGGCCATATGCAAGACAAGCACCGGGCTCACTATACTATCTCTCCAGCCCAGTAATTTGTTACTAAAGTTTGATTTCCAGAGCCAGAGAGATGGTATAGGTAATAGGGTGCTTGCCTTGCTACTGATTCCAGTTTGACCATAGCACTGCAGATGGTCACCCAGGCCACCAGGGGTACCTTCTGACCACAGATACAAGAGTGGCTACCAAGCCCTACCAGGTGTGGCCTAAAATGCCCCAATTTTGGGGAGGGGGGGCAACCCAGATGTTAGCGTTCATTTCTTTTATTTTTTGGATCACACCCGGCAGTGCTCAGGGGTTAGTCCTGACTGCATGCAGGAATTACTCCTGGAGGTTCATGGGGCCAGAACAGACAGCCATAAGGGATGCCGGGGATCAGACCCAGGTCATCTGCATGCAAGGCAAATGCCCTATCCACTATACTACTGCTCCAGCCCTATTTCATTTTTCTTTATAATTGGTCAGAACATTAGTGACTTTTTAAATAAAAGTAACTTAGTAGAAATTGTACTTTCTAGATATATTTCTCAAAGAATCTTTTTTTTTTTTTAAGTTTAATAAGTAAAGTCTAAGGAATTTTTAGCAGCTACCCTGTATTTAGGTGTGTGGAATGTATAAATGCAAGTTTTTGATAAACTTATAAACAAGTGTTTTGATAAACGTAAACTTAGCCTATGTATAACAAATTTGTGAAAAACTATTACTTAGTGGTGTTTGTTATTATTTTACAGTTGCAGAGACTCAGATTCTTTGCTTAAGATCATTATAGATAGTGTCAGAGCTGCAACTCAAACTCAGGTTTCCTTTCATTAACCTTGAGTTCTTTCCATTATACCAAAAATTGTACCTGTTGTAGTTGTTACTAGAACACATCTTAAACTTCGCTCTTGGCGTGTAAATGCAGTTTTTAATCCCCTTATCTTTTTCTGTTTCTGCTTTCATGCCTCCTCCTGGAGAATTTATTTTGCATAAAAATAATTCTTTATTTTATAGTGAGAAGGATCAAGTTAAAGAGAAAGAGAAGAAAGTGAAAAAAACAATACCTTCCTGGGCTACTCTTTCTGCCAGCCAACTTGCCAGGGCCCAGAAGCAAACCACGATGGCTTCCTCTCCACGTCCCAAGATGGATGCAATCCTGACTGAGGCCATTAAGGCAAGTTTTATTTCAGACAATTCATCTTATATTTATTCACTTCATCTTTTGTTTATTTAAAAGGCATACTCTTATCCAGACATCAGAAATACTGTTCAGCTTCCTAATAGTTTGTTTTGGGAGGAAAGGAAGAGTGGATGGGTTTGGTTTGGGGACCATAGCTGGTGGTGCTTAGGGGCTACTGCTGGCTCTATATTTGGGGTCATTCCCAATAGTGTTGAGAGACTCGTGGTGCTTGCAGTCAGACAAGTGTCAGTTTTCTGCAAGACCTGGTACTATCTCTCTGGCTCTCAAGATACTTAAATAGAGGAAACCCATTTGGAAGTTTGTGTTTTTTGATGTTGTTTGGTTTGGGGGCCATACCCAGTAGTGCTCAGAACTCAGTGCTCCTGGCAGTACTAAGCAATCAATCATATGTAGTGCCAGGATCCAAATGGAATTAGCTGCATGCAAGGCAAGTTAATCCCCATACTTTATTTCTAGCCCTTTAAGAGGTTCTCCTTTTTACTGTGTTTGGTATTGGGTCACATCCTAAAGTGCTTAGGGGCTACTTCTGACTTGATGCTCAGTGGTCACTCCCATTGGTGCTTCCCCACACAGTGCCAGGAAGCCAGCTGGGTTCATCTGCATGCAAATCATATGTTCTATCTCTCCGACCCTATTTTTGTTTGGCTTTGTATTTGGTTTTTGAACACACCTGGCAGTGCTCAGGGATCATTCCTGGCGGGCTCAGGGAACCATATGGGGTACTAGGAATCAAATCTGGATTTGCAACTTGCAAGGCAAGTACCCACTGTACTGTCTCTGGCCCCTCTGCGCCTTCTTTCTTGGTCCAGATAGCTTAGCTGTAGCCGGTGAGATCTCTTACCTTTCTGTAAGTTTTTTTCAAGAACTTCACTTCATGACTGTATGATTACTGTGGGGATAGCAAATGGACTAAATTTTAAAATGTTAAAACAATGTAAATTAGACATAATGCATGGTTTGAGTATAATACGAACATTTGTATGATATATGTCATGTACAGTATGATATATATGATATATGTCATGTAGAGTACTTAATATTTTATACCATTGTTTTCCTGCTGCCTACTTCTGTGTAGTCAGTTATTAGAAGGGATAGTTACAGAATTAGAAAGTTCTTTTCTGTGGATTTTTTCCTTTTTGTTTTAAGGGCAGGATAATTCATTCAGGGCATTGGTTTGAAGCAAATACCCAATATGACACAACTACTTTTGTGTCTTTCCTGGTAAATCAGACTGAGGTGTTTTTGTGGGGTTTTTTGGGTGTTTTTTTTTTTATTGTCATTGTATAAAATAACATTCAATTCTTAATTCATTGTGAGTAAATTTTATTTTAAATTCAATTATAGTGTAAAATTTGTTCTGGCCAATTAGATTTAATAACTGTAATGTGCTTCAGTAAAGCATTTGAAAAAGCAGATGCTTTTGTGACTGCCTTTATGACATAGTGACCTGCTTAATCTTCCATTGGCATTAGATAAATGGAATATAGATAAGTTAAATGGAAATAGAATTGGGCAATTAGGTGCCCTCATTGTTATGCAGAATCTTAAGACTTTACCATCTGTAAACCCAGTATTCATTTATTCAGATTACTTTTGCTTATGTTCTCCAGTGACATTTAGGCAGTGAGAGTGTAGAAAAAATGTTGATTGTGGTATGTCAGACAAAGCTTACATAAAATGGAACAAATTCCATTATCCTACAAGTGTTAGAAATGTTCTGCTTTACTCATGTAAACACTACAGATCTGTCTTCAGATATAAAGTAGGATTTAAATGGAAAAAGGTACTTCATTAACACATAAGATGTTCACATGGGAACTCTTCCCTGGAATAATTCTCTGATTCTCTTCTGCACAGCCAAGATAAAATACTGTACCTGAAATACTATTCCTTCTTCCTGCCATGTTTATCAATGATCATGTTCAAAAATAATATTACATGTTGTTTTTAAAATAAATTGTCAGGTTAATTAATGAGAAAGAATTCAAGTAACATGTATGGTTTGATACCTCTTACCTAGGCATGCTTCCAGAAGAGTGGTGCCTCAGTGGTTGCTATTCGGAAATATATTATCCACAAGTACCCTTCTCTGGAACTGGAGAGAAGGGGCTACCTCCTTAAACAGGCACTGAAAAGAGAATTAAATAGAGGTGTCATCAAACAGGTATTAAAGAGTTGTTATAATAAGATCACTAATAGTGCTAATTGTATAAGTCTGTATTTAGTAACGGGTTTTTTTTTGTATCATTTTTGTTAAAATTAAGATGGTGAAATGTTTAGCCTAGTTTCTGTCTGGATTACAAAATTACTATTATTATGGGGAGGAGAATTGTTTTGCTTTTTATTTTTATTGGGCCACACCCAGCTATGCTCTGTAGGGGGGCAGGGGTCCTAAGGTTGGGGAGAACAATATGGGGTGTCAGGGATCTAATTCAGGTCAGTTGTATGAAAGGTGAAAGCATCTGACCTGTTGTACTATCTCTTCATACCAACTTACTTTCTTTTTAGGAGGTTGGGTACAAAGGGTTTAGGCACTTACAGCAGTGCGTGTTCAGGGCTTACTCCTGGGTCTGCGCTCAGATACCACTCCTGGTGGGTCTGGAACCACCAGAGATTAAATTAAATCTTTGTCAGCTGTTTGCACGGCAAGAGCCTTCCTTGCATACAACACTGTCTCTCCAGTCCCCTAGCCCTTTCTTTCGTAAACTGTAGATCATGACCCCAGGTGGAGTAACTTTTAAAATATTTTTTAAATGAATTTGTGATTTATAAGTGAATATATACCAATTTAATATGCCTAAATACCTGGGTTGTGAGTGAAAAAAGTTTACTAATCAGTATAATTGAAAACAAAGTCCTTTTTTGTGTCATGGTTTATTCATCATAGTTTATAGGCTGACTTCATGTTTTCCTTCATAAAAATATATTTTGTGACTTCATTGCTTCCTAGTCTGCCCTCAGTTAATAGACAGTTTTTCAGCTTGAAAATTGCCTTATTCATTGAAGTGGGGAAGTAAGGTAATTTCAGATCAACCTTAAAAAAGTTCAAGGAAAGTGCATTGTAGACTGGAAACGTGGTAAGCCTTACACATCTTTATGTGCTTTATCTAAAGAAAATCTTTTGATAACTTTTCTAAATACAGTAATCAGTAAAAGGTAAACAGTGGGATATATTGTAACCTTGGGATACATTGTAATCTTAGTCACGTGAGATCAAGTAGCCATTTTAGTAGACTCTTCAACCATACACAAACACAGTATCATTCTTCCCCAATTTTGAAGATAGTGTAAAACAGGTAAAAAGGCTTAGAGACTCATCTTATATTGAATAACCAGATGGTACCCTAAGTACGATTTGACCCCAAGTTGTTGACTCTTTCTTTGATTGCTCATTTTCTTTTTTTTTTTCCCTTTATTTTATTTTATTTTTTTTTTAAGTTGTAGATTTACAATTTTTTGTGCTTTGGTTTCAGTTATACAATGATCAGATACCCATCCCTCCACCAGTGATTGCTCATTTTCATCTGAAGAGTTCATGCATTACATGACGTTCAGCCCATTTGGCATCACCATCTCTTACAGTTCACATACTCTAAAGCTAGTATAAGGTTATAGCAAAATCAGCTTGTAGATATGAATATAGAATAATTTACAATAAAAAACTGCCTATTACAACTAAAATTAATTTACTTTAGGTAAAAGGGAAAGGTGCTTCTGGGAGTTTTGTTGTAGTTCAAAAATCAAGAAAAACATCGCAGAAGTCCAGAAAGGTAAGCAAATCTATGCCATAGTTTGCACACTATATAATACTCTTATTCCTGAAAATAGTGTTGAGTGATTGAAGTGTGTCAGGGACCTGCGCAAAGTGCAGCCTTTCTGCTGACCCAGAGAAGTATTAGTAAGTTCGTATTAACTAGCACATTAACACACAAAGTGCGTAGTCTAGACAATGTACAATCCCAGACTCTCTAGCCCCATATTTCGTGCTTTTTATTACTTTAATCTGTTTAAGTAACAAGTTATGGGCAGCCCTATGAAATACACTGCTTTGTGTTAAGTGTTCATCATATAGGCCACACGTGGCTGTGCTTAAGAAGAGTCCATTACAGTGCTGACAAGTGAACCTAGGGCCTTTCATATATGTCATTTATTCTGCTTCCTGAACCATATTCCAAGCCCAGAGTATCCTTCATTGTTTTTCTGTTTGTTATTTTGGAGGGAGAACAGCTTGGCCCACACCAAGCAGTGCTCAGGGCTCCTGGCAGTGCTCAAGAGATCGTGTGTGATGCTTGGGATCAAACTGGCGTTGGCTGCATGCAAAGCAAGCACTTTGACTCCTGTGCTAGCGAGTTCTCTGCCCCTTCCCCTACCCTGAGGTATCTTTTAAACTAGAAGCAGCACAGAAATACGCATTGATTAGATCCCCAAAATGTACATGTAGGTTTTGTTTGTTTGTTTGTTTTTTAGTGGTAACACTTCTCATCCCTGAATGTTTTATTTTTGAAAATGCAGTGTCTAGTATTTCTCCCATGTCAGGAATTGAAACGCGTATTTCTATAAATTTGAACTTGTACTTTTTTTTTTCCATAAAACTTCCAAACTTACTCAAAATGGAACTTTAATGTAGTGCTTTGGTGCTACTTGGTTCTTTTATTGTTTTTAAAATCTAAAAATGTTTTAAAACACAAAGTAATAAAATGTTTAGTACGTTTCATCCGCTCCAGCGGGGCTCAAGGCTAACGCCTGGCTCTGCTCAAGAATCAAAATCAGGTTGGCTGCCTATAAGGCAGGCGCCCTAATCTGCTGTACTATTCTTTCCAGCCTCCAACCATTTCTGTTTATATAATATTTTAAACTCGGCATGAAATTCTTCATTTTTTTGGGGGGGGGGGTGGTGTTTTTGTTTTAAGTTTTGAGGCCACATCCAGCCTTCCTTGGGGCTTACTCCTGGCTCTGATCAGAGATCATTCCTGGAGGAGCTCAAGGGATCATATGGGGTAATGGGGGTCGGACCCAGGTCTACTAAATGCAAGGCAGGCACCTTCCTCATTTAATTTTTAGCTCCCCTCATTCTGAATTTTTTTTTTTTGCTTTTTGGGTCACACCCAGAGATACACAGAAGTTACTCCTGGTTCATGCACTCAAGAATTACTCCTGGCAGTGCTCGGGGGACCATTTGGTTTGCTGGGAATTGAACCTAGGTTGGCGGCGAACAAGGCAAACGCCCTAACTGCTGTGCTATTGCTCCAGCCCCTCAGTCTGAAATTCTTACCAAAGAAACTGCCACACATCACAGTTTGTACCATCATGATAAGAATGTGGGGGAAAATAATAGTCTTCTGATAGGTAATTGGTTTGGTAGTCAACTTAAATGTAGAAGCATTTGAATAGAAAACTGTATATCCTGTAATAATGAAATTTTTGATACTACTTTTCAGAACAGGAGCTCTGCAGTGCAGCCAGAACCACAAGTAAAATTGGAGGATATCCTTCCACTGGCCTTTACTCGCCTTTGTGAACCTAAAGAAGCTTCCTACAGTCTCATCAGAAAATATGTATCTCAGTATTATCCTAAACTTAGAGTGGACATCAGGTATGAGCTGTTGACTTGTATTTGAAAGTACAAACACGTTTGTTATTTCCTTTTTTCTTTTCTGTTTTCTTCGTATTGAGTGTTTGGCCACACCTGGCAATGCTCATGACTGGCTCTGGACTCAGGGATTTCTCTTGCTAGTCAAGACCATAAATATTACCAGGGATCAAATGGCTACATACAAGGCAAACACCTTACACACGTACTGTATCTCCAGCCCAGTGGTTTCCTTTTCATATGTTCATATAGAATTTCTTGTTGAAACCCAAATTATGTACATTTTTATAGATTCCCATAGAGTAATTATTTTTGTCAGCTGCCAAAATTTTGCCATTAAACTCTTACATCATTAGTTATTGTAATTAAAATTTTTGATTTTGTTTTGGGGTCACATCCAGTGGTCCTCAGGGCTTGCTCCTGGCTCTGTACTCAGCAGTTACTCCTGGTGGTACTCAAGGAATCAGATGGGATGCCAGGGATTGCACTCAGGTTGAGTCCAGGTTGGCCACATTCGAGGCAAGCACTGCTGCCTGCCATACTACCACTCCAGCCCCAGTACACATCAGCTTTTACCATTGGTGCCTCATTTTCAGGGGGTGAGGGTTAATTTTTTTTTTGGGGGGGGGAACCATTCCTGTTGATACTCAGGGTTTACTCCAGCTCTGTACTCATACACAGGAATTATTCCTAGAGGTGCTAGAAGAGCACAGAGGGATGCAAAGATCAAACCCAAGTTGGCCATGTGCAAGGCAAGCACCTTACTGTATTATGCTCCAGCCCAAAAAAGTGTGGTGTTTGTGTGGGGTTGTTTAGGACACACACACAGTGCTCTTTTTTTTTTCTTTTTGGGTCACACCTGGCGATGCACAGAGGTTGTTACTCATAGTGGTGCTCAGGGGACCATATGGAATGCTGGGAATTGAACCCGGGTCGGCCGCGTGCAAGGCAAACGCCCTACCTGCTGCACTGTCTCTCCAGCCCCAGTTTAGGGCTCTTTGACCACATGCTCAAGAGTGACTCCTGGCAATGCTGGAGGACATGTAGTGTGGGGTCAGCAGCGTGCAAATTAAACTCCTTCCCTCCTGTGCAAATTTCTCCAGCCTGGGATCTTTTTTGGAGTGAAAGTATACCCAAAGGTGCTCAGGACTTACCCCTGACTGTATCTAAAGATCATTCCTGGCAGTGCTAGGGGAACCGTATGTCCTGCAAGGCATCAAACCCCCGTCAGAAGCATGGCAAGTGCCTTACCTACTATGTGCTCTCTTAGGCCTCCTGGACCTTTTGGGGTTTTATTTTTGGTTTGTTTTTTGGTTTGGTTGTCTGGGGGGTGGGGGTGGGTTGTTTTGGGGCTACACCCAGCGGTGCTCAGGGTAGAAACACAAAAATGAAGAGATAGCTCAGAGGACTAATGCTGATGCTTTGCTTTTGGGAGCATAGGTTTTGATAACCCAACAATGTCGGAGACCCTTAGTTCTTCCAGTTGTGCACCCCCACTTCACCTCCCGTTAGACACACAGATGGAGTTACACTCACTCTTGTTTTTGTTTACTCTTTATTTGGTGTCTAGAGACAACTTTCCTTTCCCAGCTCTTTTCTTTCTTATGACTCAGTAATTATTTTTACATTCATTATCTTTAAATTTGAGTTTAATGTCAGGTTTATATATTTAATTTTGTTTAATCACAGTAGTGTATGTTTACAAAGTGACTCTTTAAGGAGGGTCATGGCATAAATTATATCCTGAGTGGAATAGCTCTGACCTAGAAAAATTTTTATTGGGAGTTTTTTTATTTGGAGTGTTAGGAATGTAAAAATTTGATCATATAGTTTTTATTCTTTGGCTTATAGTTGTAATATGGAACCAGACCCACCCTGTTCTCCCTCTTAAGCATACAGATGATGTATTTAATAACTCCACTGCCATTTCAGCCTGTAATACTTTTAGTGGTTACATAAAAAAATTTTAAATTCTGGGGCCAGAAAGATAGTACAGCAGGTAGGGCATTTGTTTTATACACGATAGACCCGGGTTCAATTTCCAGTATTCCATATGGTCCCCCAAGCCCCACCATAATGATCCCTGAGTGCAGAGCCAGGGACCCTTGAACATTACCAGATTTGGCACCCAAACAAAAAAATTTCAGTTTCTTCTCTGAAGAAAAATACCAAAGCTGAATGAAACACTTCTGTTGCTAATAGTTTTGACTCTCTTGATTCTGCCCCGATTGGGCTGCCCCACTGGTTTTTGGCCTATCTGGACAATTTTAAATGGGCTGATTATATCCCTGCTCCTTGGACATTAATCTAGTAATTGTTAGTAATTGTTAAAATGTGTCACTATTTTCTGTTTTCTCTGCAGGCCTCAGCTGTTGAAGAATGCTCTGCAGAGAGCAGTAGAGAGAGGCCAGTTAGAACAAATAACTGGCAAAGGTGCTTCTGGGACATTCCAGGTTAGAGGCCAGAAAAGCTTGTTTATAGAGAATTTGTTCTCAAAAGTTTTTATTTCAGACCTCATTGTACTATAAAAACTTCTAAGGACATCAAAAACTTCTGTTTATGTGGTTCTGCCTATTAATATTAACTTATTAGATATTAAAGTGGGGCTGGAAAGCTAGTAGAGAAGTTGGTCGTTTGCCTTAAACACAGGTGATTTCGGTTCAGTGCCCAATGTGTCGTGTTCCCCCAACCCCCTCCAGTAGTGATCCCTAAGCACAGACAGGAATAAGACTGGAGTTTCCCTGGGTGTGGCCCAAAACTAAAAAAGCCAAAAAAAAATTTATTACTTATTTTTAAATACGAATGATGATAAACCTTATACATGTTAAGTAACATTTTTAATGGAAAATATATTTTCAAAGCAAATTTTAATGAGAAAGGGGGTACTATTACCTATTTGCAGAAGTGTTGTCTAGTTTAATAAGAGTATTACTGTATAGTCTGGATTAATCTGTGATGAAAATTCAGCACAAATGGAAATTAGGACTGGAGAGATAGAATAATAGGTGGGGCACTTGACTTGTAAGCTGCTGACCCAGTTATGATCCTCAGCACCCCAAGTGATTCTCTGCGACCTCCAGGAGTGATCTCTGCGTTCAGAGCCAGGAGTACCCCTAGTACAGCTGGGTGTGGCCCCCAAACAAAACAGCAAAAATCATGCAGTGAGCTGTTTCTCCAGCCCCCAGATAAATAGACATTCCTCAGGAGATACAGGATTGATAAATGTTTCTTCCTGTGACTCATGCTCCCACTTAATCAGTCTTTAAAATATTTGTTTGTTTGCGGGGATGGAGGGGTGGTGGGAGAAAGCAGAGACATCTCAAGCAGTGCTTAGGTATACACAGCACTTCTAGAGACTCAGCCGGGCTAGTGGGCCCAAGGATGCAGTGTCAAATCAGCTCTGCAGTGCTTGGGGCAGACAATGTGGTGCCAGGGATTGAACTTCTATATTATCTCTCTGACCACCTCGGTGATGTCTTTTGAAGCATATGTGTTTGAGTTAGATAAAGTTGAATTTTTTAAAATTACTTGTGCCGTTAGGCTGTAGTGATAGCACAGCGGGTAGGGCGTTTGCCTTGCATGCGGCCAACCCAGATTCGATTCCTCCATCCCTCTCAGAGAGCCCTGTGATCTACCGAGCGTATCCTGCCCTCACAACAGAGCCTGGCAAGCTCCCTGTGGGCGTATTCGATATGTCAAAAACAGTAACAACAGGTCTCACAATGGAGACATTACAGATGCCCGCTCAAGCAAATCGATGAACACCGGGTTGGTCAAGTAAGGCAACCGTGACCGTTGTGCTATCACTCCAGCGCCTGATTTAGTCATGTTTGTACCACTGTCATGTGAAAAATAAGAGGTTTACTGAATCACAGATGAGGTGGGTGTAGGGAAGCGGGTTGGATGAGCAGCTCCCATATAGTGCCCAGTAGACCCAGGAGCTACTCCTAGTGATACTTGATAGCTGAAATATTGTGGTTAGGCCTAATATTAGCTATAATAGGCATAGCTGCTTATGCTCTGTGGTGCGGTGGGCTACCAAGATCACATTCAGTGATGCTCAGGGGGGTCCCATGTGGTACTGTGCTGGGGTTCAAACTCAAGTCTGATGCAGAACCTGTGTTCCTGAATGTGACTGCTAAACTGTCTCACCAGCCTGAAGAGTTTTTTTGTATATATATTTTTTTATTTTTTCCTTTTTTTATAATTTTATTTATTGAATCACCGTGAGAGCAGTTACAAAACTTTGGGGTTTAAGTCTCGGTCATACAATGAAACATCTGTCCCTTCACCAGTGTCCATTTCCCACCACCAAAAACCCTAGTATACCCCCATCCCACAACCTCCCCCTACCTGTGGGGCAGATGATTTCCACATTACTCTCTCTCTGCTTTGATTACATTCAATATTTCGACACCAGACCCACCATTATTATTTGGGATTTTACCCCAATACTCAGATATGCCGAAAAGGCAACCGTAGACAATTTGTTTTCTGTTGCTGGTTGTGAATAACATGATGTCACACAGCCGCAGTAGTGGCCGTGCAATTTTGGAATTCCGAAATTCTAACAATTAACTCTGAAAGGATTTCTGCCAAAACCTGCTGGGTTCCGAGATTTGTTCCTGAGTCTCTTGGATCATGGCCATTAACCAGCTTGATCAGGAGCCAGAGAGGCAGGGAGGGAAGGGCCAGCTCCACCCTCATCCCACGAGGTCCTGTGTGTCTCATCATTGTGGGTCCATTCAATGGCCTCTGGAGGATGGCGACCACCGAGCCACCAAGGGAGAGTAGGCAGAAGGACAGTACCCTTCCCCCCTGGGGTGGACCGGTGCTGGTAACCCATTGTGGGGACCGGACGCATCTCTGCCAAAAGCCACTGGGTTCCGAGATTTGTCTGAGTCTCTAGGATCATGGCCCTTAAGCAGTTTGATCAGGAACCAGAGAGGCCTTGCCTCCAATTATATAGCTGAGCCGGAGGTGGTTTGTGGGTGTATCTCCCACATACCTAACTTTTGGCCATTTACTTTCTTGGTAAACTTGGCCCCAAGTTTTTGGGATCTGGCCAAAGGCACAGCAGCAATTTTGGGGTATCTGGAAGTCTGAAGGCGCCATCAGGCTGCAGATGCACTCGCCTCACAGGTACAGATTGACCTGCTGGCGGCACCAGACCCCCTCAAGAGTTTTTTTTTAATAATTGACATATTTCATCAAATAACAAAAATTATATATCACCTTTAATTGCATCAGAATATTTAAATACTAAGAAGTAAGCTTAGTGTATTTACAAATTTCACATTATCTTAATTTTACCATTGAAAAATTAGGTATTTCCTTTAACAAATTCTGCTAGTGTTTTCCTTGAAAGGACATGCTTGTTTAATTCCTTTTCAAGAAGTCTCTAACAGATGCCCGTTTGAATAAGCCATCTTTATCTGTTGCTCCTCCAGGTAAAAAAGGGTATTTCTTGAAAAATTTGGCTAGTTTTTAGCCCAGCATTCAAATCTTACCTCCATATAGAGCTAGTGTGTGCTTTATCATGCTTCCAGTTTTGTGGTTTTGTTCATAAAGGACTGAAAAGACATAACTACTCAGTTGAAATTTAATAAAACATACATGTATATGTTTTGGTGTTTGGTCACACCTAGTGGTGCGCAGGGCTCTGTGTGCAGGAATCAGTCCTGGCGGACTCAGGGTGACATGGGTTACTAAGGATCAAAACCAGGTCAGTGATGGCATGCCCATCAAACACGCTTCCCTCTGTACTATCTCTCTGGCCCCCTTAAAAGTAATTATTGCCACATCAGAGACACATTCCTAAGTGAAACTCAGTTTTTCCCTTTAACTTCATAACAGTAAAGAATAAAATAGCTGGGCCTGAGTGATTGTACGGCACATAAGGCTTTTGCCTTGCATGCAGCCAACCCAGGTTCAATACCCAGCATCCCATATGGTACCCCAAGCTTATCAGGAGTGATTTTCTGAGTACAGAGCCAAGAATAACCCCTGACCATCGTCAGGTGTGACCCAAAAACCTTAAAAAAATTAAAAAGAAACAAGTGTGGTACATTTTTGTCCTCTCATATGTTAAGGTGGTAGCAGTTTTTGTTCATCAATATGTCATCCGAGTGAAAGTTAAATATTAGAGTTACTATGAAAATAATTTTGACCTTGTAAGTTTTCCAGAAGTATCTCTGGAAACTCCCACAGATTTGTTGATTATGCTTTGAGAACCACTATTTTAGGCAATAATTGGTTTAATCTTTTTACACTGTCATGCCTTCTGGTGCTAATCTTCGCTCTTCAGCCTTTTGTTGTAGAAACATGCTGTACAACTGTTGTATGTTGCACTAAATATTTGGCAACCTTTTTCTTTGTCCTTTCCCTTTGCAGCTATTATTTTTTAAACTGTTTTCCAGATTCAGAAAACGGAAATATCCTCAAAAGTACCTTTATGTCTTGATTGGGTATATAACAGTAAATCGTTTATTGTGGAAGGGCAGTTGTTCTCTTTGGGTTAGCATGCACTAGACTGAACGGAGGGGTAGGTGGAAGAAATATCCATAGGAGGGTTGGGACTCCTCAGTTAGATCGAAGACCTGGTAATTGGAAGAGAAAGTCCCTAACCTGACAATTTACTGTAAAACATATCTGTGCTAATGCAGGAACTCCGACCCACCTGGTGCAGAGGAGTCTTGTCTTGACCTGCTTTGGGAGAGTGTTGTCTTGATGCTTTTCTCTTCCTCCTTGGAAAACAGCTGAAGAAGACAGGGGAGAAACCCCTGCTTGGTGGAAGCCTGATGGAATATGCAATCTTATCTGCCATTGCTGCCATGAATGAGCCGAAGACCTGCTCTACCACTGCTCTGAAGAAGTATGTCCTGGAGAACCACCCAGGGACCAATTCTAACTATCAAAGTAAGAGTCAGAGTTGTGTGTATTTAACCTGGATTATTCCTCCATCCTTCTTGGAGAGCTTGGCAAGCTACCGAGAGTATCCTGCCCACACAGCAGAGCCTAGCAAGCTCCCCGTGTTGTATTTGATATACCAAAAACAGTAATAAATCTCACAATGGAGATGTTACTGGTGCCTGCTCGAGCAAATTGATGAACAATGGGAGGACAGTGCTTCAGTGCAGTGCAGAGAATTGTTTGGGTGGGGGGGACCAAAGGGGATATATAAAGATCATGCTGTTCACAAAGCATTTTAACTAGACTGAAAAATGAAACAATTGGTTTACAAAATGAAAACATTATTTACAGAAACAATAACACATAATCAAGGTTTATCTTCATTTAAATGTTTGCTGAAGATCAGAAGTTGATTTTACTTTACTATAGTTTCATGGTATTTTTATTACCGTTTAATATCAGTATAATACTTTTTTTTTTTTTTTTCAGTATAATACTTTTTGTGTATTTCTGCTGCTACTTAGATTCTTCTTTTGGCTTTTGGGCCACACCCAGGTGTTGCTGGAAGAATACTAGTAGCTCTGTGCTTGGGGATCACGTCTGTGAGTGGAAGTCACCTCCATTGGTGCTCCGGAGACCATGTAGTTGGACCATGTATTATCCCTAGCACTACTAGGGATAGAACCTGGGCCTCTTGCATGAGAGCAGCCTTTCTCTTTCTCTGTTCACTTTGTAGCAAAAATGCTTCCCCCCTCTGAAATATGTTTACCCTGTGAGATGAAGGTTTGAGATCTGAAACCTTTCTTTATAAGCAACGTAATCACATCACATTAGGGAGATTGTTTCTTGACTGACTGCTAGAATAGGTGCAGTGGTATAGTATCAGAAATACGGTAATTAAAAAATAAAAATACGCTTAGAGCATTATAAGTATACAGTTTGGAAATTTAATAATTTATATTCAGGGTAATTTTTTTTACTTTCTGAAGATTTTTCTCATTGTATCCTTATGTTCTTTGAAAACTGAGTGATCTTTTATCTTTCCTTAGTTAAAATAATTTGTTCATGGGGCTGGAGCTATAGCACAGCGGGTAGGACGTTTCCCTTGAACGTGGCCGACCCGGCTTCGATTTCCAGCATCCCATACAGTCCCCTGAGCACCACCAGGAGTAATTCCTGAGTGCAGAGCCAGGAGTAGCCACTGTGCATCGTCAGGTGTGACCCAAAAAAGAAAAAAAAAATTTGTTCAGTATTGTATATTGACTATTAGAGATTTGATCCATGATTTTCTCTTCTATTTTAAGAGAGATGGATTTAGTTATTAATATTTTTAATTTCCCTCATTTTTCAGTCTATTTCCCTAGACATTGAATTGTAAAATGTATTTTTGAGGGGCTGCAGTCATAGGTGATTGACTTGCATATGATAAATTACATTTTGAACCTTAGCACCATATAGTCATTCCCCCCATCCCTCAGCACCACAGGGAGAAACCCATGAACGCCATCACATGGTATGGCCTAGAAAAACAAAAAGGGGCTAATATGTATGCACTTGTATTAATGTGATTTTTGTAGGAAAGATTGCGAGCTGGTGAGATCTTTTAAAAACCTTGAAAATTGTTGGGGCTTGTGTTTTGGGGGTTGTTATTTCAAAGCTTTGAAATTTGTGTTGATTCATTAGAAACTGATTCCATATATCTTTATAGATGTTCTTGTTTATTAGTAATGCTTACAGAAACTCATTAATTGATAAATAGAAATAATGAGTGATTTAGACTTAGGTCATGCTTAACTGTTTACATGCAGCTATAAGACAAATTTGTTTCTCTTTGTGGGGTGGGAGGGGGATTGGACCACACCCATTGATGCCAAGGGTTATTCCTGACCCTGCACTCAGGAATCACTCCTGGAGGTGCTCGGGGGGCCATATAGGGGATCCAACTGAGCTGGCCAAGTGCAAGGCAACTGCCCTACCTACTGTACTACTGTAGTGGCTCATAGGGCAAGTTTCGAAACCACACTGGGCCCCTATTTCCTTTTCTGTGAAATGAAGAACTTGACTCAGTGATCTCTGAAGTCCTTGTCATTCTTGTTAAATTAATTGCATAATGAATTATCCCTTTGACCTCAAAGGAGTCATTTAGCCCATGTCAATTACTATATGTGATGGGACACTACATTAATGTACAACTGATTGTGATTGAGATACTTTGATGAATTCATTATTTAAATTTTTTTATTCAGTGCATTTGCTGAAGAAAACCCTGCAGAAATGTGAAAAGAATGGTTGGATGGAACAGATCTCTGGTAAAGGGTTCAGTGGTACCTTCCAGCTTTGTTTTCCCTATTATCCCAGGTAAGCACTTAGCCACAATGTGAAATACTGGTCCTGGTAAATTTAAGATTTGATTGTACTTTATAGAACTGAATGAGTTTACCTTTCTAAAATTACATCGAACTGGACATTGTTGAGCTTTTATTTTTTTAAAGTTTTATTTTCTACTTTCAATTTACAATAATGTTAGTTTTATATTTTCATTGTACAAGGTTTTTCCATCTTCATTACTACCAGTGGGCCAAAAACCATTTACAGCACTTATTTCTAGTCTATCTTTTGGCAAAGCATTATTTTAGAGCAAAAAAGTTTTTCATGTAAGAACAAGAGGGGTTTGGGCCAGGAAGATAGCTCAGAGGACTGGAGCACATGCTGTCCTGTGAGAGAGATGGGTTTGAACCCCGTATCACATGATCCCCTAGCACTACCTGGAGCGGCCCCTAAGTACCACCAGATGTGGGCATTCCCCCCCACACACACACACCCCAAAAAAAGGTTTTGAGATTGGAGCAATTAATACAGCGGGTAGGGCATTTGTCTTATATGTGGCAGTCCCAGGTGCAGTTCCTGGCACTCTATATGGTTCCCTGAGCACCGCCAGGTCAGGGGTAAGCGCTGAGCATTGCCGGGTGTGGCCCAAAAGAAAAGATTTTTTTAAAACTCATTTTTTGCCTTCCATCCCTGAAATTTAAGACATTGGAATCTTTGGCCAGTTTTTGTGTTTATTCCTTCCTTTTAAGTAAATAATAATGATAAAATTGGTGATTATTTGTTATTCTGAATCATTAAATACATTATATTTTGTAATTCTGTATGTTGTAATTTTCCAACCTTTGTTCACCTTCATACTATATGTTGTAATGAGGTGTTTGTCATCACAGTGACTGAAATTTGTGTATCAGAATATGCAAGTCAACATGAATAGATTGCTTGATGTTATTTATACGTATGTAGGAGATTAAGTGTAGGACTTCAGTTAAATTTGAATTTTAAACAATAATATATTGTTTACACCTGAACTATTTTTTTAAGGATTTATTTACGAAAAAAAAAATTCTGAAGCATTTGAGCTTTTTAAAGTAGACAGTAGTACAGTGACATTTTAGATAGATCGACTCTTTTTCAACTTTAACTTTTCCATATGTGAATATATTTAAGGCAGATCTATATTCTATAAGTTAATTTTATTCTTCACAGCAGGTAGGGCGTTTGCCTTGCACACGGCCGACCCAGGTTTGATTCCTCCGTTCCTCTCAGAGAGCTCAGCAAGCTACCAAGAGTATCCCGCCCTCACAGCAGAGTCTGGCAAGCTCCCTGTGGGGTATTGGATATGCCAAAAACAGTAACAAGTCTCACAATGGAGATGTTACTGGTGCCCGCTCGAGCAAATCCATGAACAACAGGAGGACAGTGCTACTATAGAAACATTTATTTGAAAATCTTTTTCTTACACATACTTTATTCATTGATTCCTAAAAAAATGTTGAGCACCTCCTAGCATTGAACCAGCCATTGTTCTATGATCTAACATTATAGCCTTCTTATATTTTAATGTCAGTAGTGTCATAACATGTACCATTACAACAGTGTTTTAGAGTTGGAGAGATAGTACAGGAGTTAAGGCCCTTATTTGCCTGCTGTTGACCTTACTTAGATTCCCAACACTTCATGGTCTCTTAAGCACCACTAGGGAATGGAGCTGAGAGTAGCCCATGGGCACCACCACGTGTGGGCTAAATAACACACACCTTCCCCACGACCATTGTTAGCAAGAGAATAATATCTTTTTTAAAAATATATACTCTATTTGTAGCACTGCACTGCACTGTCATCCCAATGTTCATCAGTTTGCTTAGGCGGGCACCAGTTATGTCTCCAGTGGAAGACTTGTTACTGTTTTTGGCATATCAAATAAGTCATGGGTAGCTTGCCAGGCTGCCGTGTGGGCGGGATACTCTCCGCAGCTTGCCAAGCTGTCCGAGAGGGGCGGAGGAATCGAAACCAGGCCGACCGCGTGCAAGGCGAATGCCCTACCCGCTATGCTATCATCCAAGCCCATAGTCTCTATGTGCAAATATAAAATGATTGTACGTATATTTATTGAATTTTTCAGACAGTAAACCTCAAAGTCGTCACATAACATGTCATAATTTAAAGACTTGTTAGACAGTTAAATCGAGATCCTTTTGAATTTCTGAGTGTTGGGGATCAAACCCAGGGCTTCACATGTGCTAGGCATGCGCTCTCAAAGTTTGAAGGAATTCACACTTTTGAATACTTTGTATTGTTTTGCCAATATCATGAGGGCAAAATGTAACTATTTTACAGACCATTCACTCAACCATTCACTACTGTGTAGCTATGCTCAGTACAGATGACCCAGCTTTGATCTCCAGCTCCCCATAGTCAGCCAGGAAAAAATTGTGAGTGCAGAACAATTCCCAAGCATTGTCAGGTGTAGCCCCAAAACCAGAAAAATAAAGTTTTAAAAGGGAAGAGGATAAGATTTGGTTTGGAATTTTTAGAAACTTGTGTGTTCAAAATAGATTATAACCTTGTAGTAACTTGAAAGTTTGAGAGAGGAGGAGGGTTGAAAGAAGTAGAAAAGTCTGGGGGAGAGCATCAAGGGTCATTCTATTTTCTTCTATGAAATGTGTGTTTTATTTCATGGACTTTTAAAATTTCTTCATAGCCCAGGAGTTCTATTTCCAAAAAAAGAGCTAGATGATTCTGAAGATGAAGATGAAGACGAAGATGATGATGAAGATGAAGACTCATCAGAAGAGGAGTCTGAAGATGAAGAACCACCACCTAAGAGAAGGTATGTGAAGAACCTCAATTATTAGAGCTGACAATGGCATTAGTAAGAGACTTTGAATAACTCAAGCCCTCTTAGCAACTCAAATTCTTTAACATGAGAACTTATCTTTGAATATTTGGGAGCTTAACTAAAATATCAGGAGGTACTATGAACATTAGTTAACACTTTGGTGAAACATATAAACATCTATTCATATTTTGGTTATTTAGAGAAAATAAGCTCGTAGAGTTCTTAGGAATAACAGGATGGGATTACTTGTGGGCTTCTATGAATTGGTTCCTTTCCTGAGAAGATTGGATGAGGTTCAGTTACATCCGGCATGGGGGGTTGGGTGGCACACACTAGTTTAGGTTCATTGCTCAGGTGTCATTCATGACAGTGCTCAACGGGCCATGCAGTGCTAAGGTTCAATTCCTAGCACTTTCTAGATGCAAAGCATGTGCTCAAGTCTTGAACTATCCCTGAACCTGGTTTCGTTCTTTTCCCCCATTTTTATTGAAGCACCATAATATATAATACTGTTAATGATAAGGGCTGGAGCAATAGCACAGCGGGTAGGGCGTTCGCCTTACAAGCGGCCAACATGGCCGACCCGAGTTCGATTCCTCTGCCCCTCTCGGAGAGCCCGGCAAGCTACCGAGAGTATTCGATATGCCAGACACAGTAACAACAAAGTCTCCAATGGAGACGTTACTGGGCCCGCTCGAGCAAATCGACGATCAATGGGAGGGCCTTTACCTTTACCTTTTTAATGATAATATCATGCATGCATCATTCCAACACCATACCTGTTACCAGAGTATGCACGTCCCTCCGGCATTCATCCCAGAGACCCCTCTCAGTCACTCCCACAGGTTCAGTTCTTTTGGGTGGTGTGGGAGCTGTGCTCAGGGCTTACTACTGGCTGTGTGCTCAGGGATCACTCCTCGCGGGCTCAGGGGACCTTATGCAATGCTGGGGATTCAGTCTAGGTTAGGCCTGTGCAGGGCAAGTGCCCAACCTTCTATACTACTGCTCTAGCCCCTCTTTCAAGCTCAATTCTGTAGTAAAACTGATTTTATTTTAAATGTGATTTCAGTGAAGCTTCTAATCAAGAAATAAAAAATCTTGGGATTTGGAGCAATAGTACAGCGGATAGGAACCTTGCCTTGCATGTGGTGATCGCCCTTTGATCCCTAGTGCCCCCTGTGGTCCCCTGGGCTCTGCCAGGAGTAAGCCCTGATGAGCACCACCATGTGGCCCAAAAAAAAAACAAAAATTAAAAAATACTAGGGCCCAGGGATGACTTGGTCATAGATTTCCTGCTTTGCCCACCTGAGGGCACAAGTTCAGTACCTGGCACTTTCCTGCATATGGAGCGCCAGGCAAATTTCAAAAAATAAAAAGGTGTGATCTCCAATGCACTACAGTCAGATGCAAGCACTGTAGCCAAATGTGTCGCACCCCTCTCCCCCCAGTCATCACAGTGACAACAAGGGGAAGACATACACAGAGTTTTTAAATAGTCTTTTTGTACTCTCAGCATATTCTTTTGGCAAAGCGAGTATCTCCTGACCTAAGTGATTGCTTTTCCTCTTTGGTTCTCACAGGTTGCAGAAGAAAACCCCAGCCAAGGCATCTGGGAGAGCTGCAGCAGTGAAGCAGAGAGGGTCCAAGCCTGCACCTAAAGTCCCAGCTGCCCAGCGAGGGAAAGCTAGGCCTCTCCCGAAGAAAGCCCCTCCTAAGGCCAAAACTCCCGCCAAAAAAGCCAGACCCTCACCCTCTGTCATCAAGAAACCTAGTGGTGGCTCTTCAAAGAAGCCTGGTAGTGTGAGAAAGGTAGTGGAATCCACCATGAAAAAATCCTTCAGAGCAAAAAAGTAAATTTTATAGGAGAAAAGGGTATCATGAGAAAATTGAAAATTTTATTTTCTGAGGTCAGCGTGCATTTGTTGTAGTTTTGATGCTCTTAAAGTTACTTTTTTGTTTTTTTCCTCACCTGTGAACATCGTGGGGAAGGAATATAAATAAACCATTTTAGGCATTTTTTAGCTTTAGGTGCTATTCTTGGTACCTGCTTTTTTTCCTTGTTCATTTAAGTTACTGCGATAATTTGGGTCTTTCCTGAACTGTATAATCTATAATTGCCTTTTTTTCTCCCTCCACCAATCCCTTTAGCCCTCCCCCCACCCCCGACTTTGAGTTGTATCTAAACGGTTGCAAAGGTTTTTATATTTGTAGAAAGCATCAAGACTTAAGATGCTGGTCAGGTCAGATGCTATAAGTAGAAAGGGGTTAAGATAGAACTGACTAAATTGTAATGCCTCCTGCTTGGAGGCTTGAATTTTAGCTATGACGGTTCATCTTATTTATAAAACCACTCTACTAATCCTTTCTCTCCAGCTGTGAACACAGAGACATCGTAGCTTTGGGAGTAAGAACAACAACAACAACAAAAAACATCACATTAGATTCTAAAGTTGCACCACTCTTTTAGGCTACTTTCCACATTGCTCGGTTTCCAGGCATTTTTCACTGGCCCAGGGCATTGCATTCCCTCTACAGCAAGCACAAGTTCTCTTCATCACTTGGTTTTTTGACTGAAGGGGGAAAAATAAGAATATATTGAATTTGTGGTTTCTGGTGTCACCTATGTTACCAAGAATCAAAACCATATAAAATTGTCTCGATAAAAATGTTTAAATATATTTTTTAATATTTGGAGCATGAGTTGTTTCTTCCTATTTACCTTTTTTATAAGGAAAAGTTGGAGAGTCAACATCATTGTTTATGTAGAAATGTTAAGTGGAAAAATATGCAATTTGTTAAAATAAATGATTCCAGATTCATCTGGGTTTTTCCCTCCTTTCTTTCCATAGCACTTTTGATATCAAGCAAGTGGCTTCCTTTTTTCGAGATATTAAAAAAAGAAAAGCAGTTGAAGCCCAACTACCTAACCCTTTCATATTTGTATTTGTTTTAGTATTGTGAAGTTGTGTTAAATAGTATTAGCTTTCTACTTGAGAAATACTGATTTGCGGTTATCATTTATCCTCCCTGTGGCACTTGACATTTTAATTGTCTTAAAATTTTCGGTGTACTTCTGGCCTCTTCAGTGCTGCCAGAGTAAAAGATGTTTGTTTCATTCATTCCACTTGCATTGTCTCCTGGGATCCCGACTGCAGCCTCAAAGTGTTGCTGGAAAATGGACTTAAGAAGATTCGCTTAAACTAGATCCATAATCATGTGTGATCCCATCATGACTTCATTGGAATTTGTGTTGCATGTAAGGCAATCTTTCCTGTTGTAAATCTTCCTTTTTTTATGTACATATATTTTGAAAAATACAAATAAACATGAAATTTTAAAAGCTGCTGAACTGTAGCTTATGTTATAAAGTCTCTAGTATATCCTCAGAGGTAGCTAGATGTTGCCCCCACTGTGGGTCTTTACTGTTCCTCGCAATAGCCACTGTGTACTTCCTGGTTAAATAATAAGCTCCAGTTTGCTTTTTTGTTTTGTTCTGATGTGTTTGCTTTTTGGGTCACACCTGGTGGTGCACAGGGGTTCCTCCTGGTTCACGCACTCAGGAATTACTCCTGGCGGTGCTCAGGGGACCATATTGGATGCTGGGGATCGAACCCGGGTCGGCCACATGCAAGGCAAACGCCCTACCCGCTGTGCCATTGCTCTAGCCTCTCCAGTTTGCTTTTGAATGTTAATATGGATAGATGTCTTCAAGATGCATTGAACCTTATTTAATGAATAAGAAGTGTAGAAAGTCCTTTAGTAGGATCAGAGAGATAATATAAGGGCTCAGGTGCTTGCCTTGCACACTGTTGAACTCTGTTTGGGTGTGACCCAAAACCCCACCTTCTAAAAGCATTTGGGATTTAAAGGGTCCTTAATTTTTAGATCATAGATTTCAGGGGGTTTTTGTTGTTGTTGTTTGATCTAACACGCTTTTCGACTAGAAAATAAATGCGGTACCACAAAAGATTTGGGATGGAGAGGTAGTATAACAGGTTATGCGCTTTTTTTGCGTGCAGCTGAGGTGGATTTGATCACCAGTATCTCATGGTCCCTTGAGCTCCACTAGGAGTGGTCCTTCAGTGCAGAGTAAGCCCTGAGCACCTCCAGGTGTTTCCCCCCACCCTCTATAAATAACAGCTGCAAAAAAGACGGACTTTATTTAGGCTGAGATGAGGAATGTTTTTTTCTTTCTGGTTATTCTGAAGGAATAGAAAACAGGTTTCACATCTGTGTTCCAGAAGGGAAAAATGCAAACCCAAGGAATAATCCTAGCGATTTCCAGCATGAACCAGTAACTTCAATATTGTTAGTGGCTTAATAAGCCACTAACTTAGTCCCAAACCCCACTTCGATTCCTACTATCATATGTTCCCATAGGCATCACTCCCAGTACCTCCAGGATGAGCTGGGTATTCAGCAGTACTGGGGTCCTAAATAGTATTGCACCTGTGGGTCCTGTATTGAATCAATGCCCAGTGGGGCTCCAGGACCTCCTGAGCACCACTTGTGAATCTCACCCCTCAAAAAGCAAATAAATTTTCTCATAATTCTGAAGTCTAGGAGTCAGAGATGATGGGGCCGGAGTGGTAGCACAGCAGGTAGGTTGTTTGCCTTGCATGTGCCGACCTGGGTTCTATTCCCAGCATTCCACATGGTCCCCCAAGCATTGCCAGGAATAATTCCTGAGTGCAGAGCCAGGAGTAACCTCTGAATGTCGTTGGGTGTGACAAAAAAAGTCAGAGATGAAGGTGAAGCAGCACCTTTGGGCCATGCAGGAAAGCTCTGTCCCTTGCCTCTCCCTAGCTGTGGATGACTTTCTCTTCCCTGTATGTTCACAGAGCCCAAATTTCCCCTTGTTAGGAAAACACCAATCACACTGGATTAGAACCCACTAGTGACTTAATCTGAATTCTTTAAAATTCCTATTTGCAAAAACATCGGAGTACAGAAGAACTTTAGGGGCAAAGTGAACAGTACAGGGGTTAAGGCATTTGCTTTGCCCTGACCCAAGTTCAAATCTCAGGTACCACACATAGTTACCAAGCACCTCTAGAGGTCACTGCTAACAGCCAGGAATAACCCCTGAGCACCTCCAGGTGTGGCCCAATCCCACAAGTAGGACATGACCATCGCTAGGTCCAGGCACTAAACTGTCAGACTCATGCTTGCATGATAAGGCATCCATAAGAGAGAGTGACCCAAGGGTTTTAGCTACCATTGGGCAGCCCTAAATAAGCAATTTTCTCTTAAGTCCCTTTTGTTGGGGAGTTGGAGTATTAGGATACCTTGCATGGTCAGCCGCAGGGACACCTAAGACAATGAAATTGCTCAGGTGTAAAGTAACTGCACCGTGAGTGGGGCATTATTGAGGAAATGAGGGGCGTGTGCGAAGCAGGAACACCGGATGTGGCCAGCACGGTGCCGAAGCCTGGTCCTAGCTCGTCAGCCTGGCAGCTTGCAGTCCTCTTTTGGGACAGAAGCTTAGAAACGATGAGGTGTTCTTTCCCACTCACATTCGTCAGCTGGCAGCACTAGTACCAGATTCTGGATTTAAGAGAAAAGCTGGTTAGCTTTGAGTAAATGACTAACACTCTCACCTGTGGGATTTAGTCATTGTCATTGACTCATCAGGAAATGCCTGACATGACCATGTGCCCTAGCATGTTCAGGACCACCCCCCAACTGCACCCCATTTTTTTTTTGTTTGTTCCTTTCACCCCATTTGCTGCTTAATAGAGGAACTTATTGGGCTTCTGGCAAAAAGTGAGTCAGTCGAGACTTGATGGAAGTTGCGAGAATGGCTCACAGGGCTGTGCTGTCTTGGGTGTGGTTACCTGCAGGAGGCAGGGAAGGGCATGGTTATTTTAAGGTCTGGCTTTGCTAGGGAAATAGTTGTTGCCTTTTCTTTAGTGGAGCTTGTAGGGTTTTGGGGGGTCACACCTGACAGTACTTGGGGGATCATGTGATGCTCTCACCAGACTTCCTGTGTGTAAAGCGTGCATACTAGTACTTTATTTAAAAAGATTTTTTTAATTGAATCAATGGAGATACACAGTTACAAACTTGTTCACGATTGGGTTTCAGTCATAGAATGTTCCAACATCCATTCCTTCACCAGTGTACATTTCCTACCACCAAGGTTCTCAGTTTCCCTCCCACCACCAAACCCCAGCCTGCCTCTATAGCAAACACTTTTCCCCCCACACCTCCTCTCCCTTTCCCTCCCTTTCCTTTTAGACATGGTGATTCGCAATACAGGTACTGAAAGGTTATCATGTATATCACTTTACCTCCTTTCAGCACTCAGCTTTTGGCCAGAGTGATCTTTTCCAGCTATCATACACTAGTCCTTTGAGCCTTCTCCATCCCCCCACTCGCTGCCCAGGTGGCTGACAAAAAAAGTTTTTAAGTTTTTTTTTTTTAATTTGACACAAATTTCTGAGCTTGTGTACCTTTAATAAGTTTACATGTGCAGAGTAGGAACCTAGAGTTTCTGTGCTTTCCATAGAATTAGAGACTAGCTCAGGAGGGCAATCACACTTGAGCAGGTTCTCCGGTCCTTACATTTAGCACTGCATTCTCTACGGATGATGGAAGAAAGAAGGCTGCAGCCAGGGCCCCAGGCTATGTGGAGTTGGCTTTTTCTTCAACAAGGGCAGGTTGCCTCCCACATCCTAAAGAAGTGCAGTTGTTTCATTTTGTGGGTCTAACTTGTCCCGTTCTGAGTGAGGGTGGGCAGATGTGTGAGAGCATTGGCAGTTATAGGCTGTGGCTCAAGCTTGGTTCCCCTTGTTTCACCTTGTGCCGCGTAGGCCTCTGCCCTCTATGCTGCAAGATGAATGAATGAATGCTAGTTATTGCATACTGTTCCATGTTATTTTTCTTTTTACTAGTGAGACATCATGAGGTACAGTTGTAGACTTACAATTTTTGTGCTTGGGTTTCAATTATACAATTATCTAATACCCATCCCTCCACCAGTGCCCATTTCCCACCACCATGGATCCCAGTATCCCTCCCACCCCCCATCCCCCCGCCCCACCCTGCCTCTGTGGCAGGGCATTCCCTTTTGTTCTCTCTCTCCTTTTGGGTGTTGTGGTTTTGCAAGAGAGGCATTGAGTGGCAATCATGTTTGGTCTATAGTTCACTTTCAGCATGCTTCTCCCATCCTGGGAAGATCCTCCCAACACCCTTTATTTGGTGCTAGCTTCTTTATCTGAGCTACCTTTTCCCCTAGCATGTGTGGCTGGCCTCCAAACCATGTTCCATATTATTTTGATCTTCATTTAACAGTATGATTTTGTTTTGAGAGATGTCATAGGAACTTAAATTTTTTTGTTTTTGTTGCTGCTGTTGTTGTTTGTTTTTGTTTGGGGCCAGACCCGGAAATGCTCAGGGATTAGTTCTGGTAAGCTCAGAGACATGAGCTCGAACAGAGATCGAACCCAGGTTGGCCATTTGCAAGATAAGTGCTCTACCTGCTGTACTACTGTGCCAGCCTTTAACTCTTTATATCAATTAGTCATTGGTAAAATTGGCCTTTATTATCTCTCCTTTTTGAACTTACTGAACTTTTTTTTTTATTAATAGGAAAATTGATTAGAAACTGGAAGAGACAGAGGAAAAGTAACTCCCCCTGTGGGAAGGAACTTAGTATAGGACTAAGTTTGCCTTACTGAACTTTGATGTATAAATAGAAGTGAAGGTTGTGTAAGCGCATTTGGGGTGAAAGCATTGTGTTCCTGTGTATGATGAAAATAAATAAAGATGGGTCTTTGGGAGCCAGGGAGAGAGTATAAGGATTAAGGTGCATTTCTTGCCTCCAACCAATCTGGTTCTATCCCCAGTACTACATGGCTGCCTGAGCATTGCCTGGTGTAGCTAAGGGCGCACCCCAAGCACTGCCTGAATGGCCAGGGTAATCCCTGGCATCACAGGACCTGAGCAGCACCTTATCTTTGGGCCATTGTATTGAACAGCTGGCCCAGTTGGCTGAGTCTAACCGGGAGTGGACCCTGTAGAGCCAGTAGTTAAGACTATGGGATTGCTTTGTTTTCTCACAATTTTGTCAGAATGAGAAGTATGAATCCACTAGTCCGAAATTCCTCTACTAGAAAAATTATATAGTCACTTATTGATTTTCCTGACTGAACCCAGTGGTGCTCAGGGTCTACTATTCCTGGCTCTGTGCTCTGTGCCAGGTCACCCCTGGCAGTTCTGGGGGGACCATTTGTGGTGCTGGAATTCACAGTGGGATGCAAAGCAAGTCTTAACCCCTGTGCTATATCTATGGCTCCAGCTCCTTAAGAAAGTTGGTAAGAAGGAGCCCTTTATTCTTTGTGAGTTTCATGAATGAGAGTTGGGGGAAGCAGGACAATCTGGATCCTTCTCACCATAGGGTTCGAGGCTCAAATGGCCTCATGAGAAGAGTTTCCCGGAAACTCAGGGGTAAACCTAAACCTCCCGTTAGGTAACACTCTGATGAACATCCACTGACTTGCAAGCAGGCACAGTGCCCAGCACGCTGCCCGCAGTAGCTCATGGGAATCCTCACATCGTGAGTCGGGTGTTAGTAACACAGGTGAGGCACCGGAGGACTGATGTACCTGATCAAGGAAGGCGTTTGCTCCAGGCCCCAGCCAGATTTGGGACCAGGTGTTTAACGTGGCCGGCACTCTGCTGGCCGCGACAGATGCTCAGGGAGACAAATCGGTGTCAGCAGACCTGCCCTCTCGCTGTCCCTGAACCTCACAAGCAGTGACAGCCGAACGCGGAGCCAGGAGTAAACTGAGCACAGCCAGATGTGGCTCAAACACCCCACCCCACCCCGCCCCCACCAAGATATCACTGAATGCCTGCGGACTGACGAGCCGGGGTACTATCCTGGGTACTTGGCTGGACCTGGACCCGGGCTTGCCTCGGTGCTTTCTGGGCAACGCTGCTCGCGCTGCAGTGAGGGCGAGAACCCCAGCCAAGAGCCCACACCGGGCTGCAGGGAGTGGAGTGGCTGGTGAGCCGGGAGGGCTACTCAGAGGAGGAGCTTCTGGAATCGCACTGTGTCGTCTAAACGCAGCAAGCCAAGGAGCGGGAGGGAAGGGCTCTTCAAAAGGAGGGACCCCTCGGCTAAGCCCCGACCCGCGAAGGATACCCCCAGCCTGGGCAGCGGCGCCAGGCACCGCTTTCCGACCCCTTGCGGCGGCGCGCCCGGGCCCGAGCAGGCAGGGGCGGGGCCACGGCTGCTCGCGGCCGCTGATTGGGGAGGCGTCCCCGTCCCGCCCCCGGGGAGCCGCATCGCGGACGCCGATTGGTGGGCGCGGCCCGGCGCCGCCACCAGGTGATGCGGGGAGCTGGTTCCCGCGGCCACGTGGGGGGCGCGGGGCGCGGGGGCGGCGGGGGGCGGGGCGGCCGGCTGGGACGCGCGGGGGTCGCGGCAGGAGCGGCGGCGGCGGCGGGACCGGCGCGGTGCGGGCGCGGTGAGTGGGTGACGCGGGCGGGGGCGACCCGGCGCGGGGCCCCCTGGGGCCGGGCCCTTCGGTGCGTGTCGCCCGGCCGCGGTCTGGGTCGCTGCGCGGAGTTGCTCGGCCCAGGGCGGGGGCGCTGGTCCCGTGCGGGGCTTCGGCCTGTGATCGGCACTTGGTGCTCGCTGTCGCCACCTCCCTGCACGCGCCGGCCGGCCTCCGCGCCCCTTTGTGTCGCCCTCCACGGTCCCGGCGACCCCGAGAGGCTGGTTTCCGGGGCAGCCCTGGCTCGGGGCTCTGCCGGGATGGGGAGGCGGATTTGGACTCGGGCACCTGGTTTGACGCAGGGCAATATCCCTCTGGAGGTCGCTGAACCCCTCCGCTGGCCCCATCCTGCCCCGCTTACTGGCTCGGAGCAGGAGCCCAGAGGTTAAGGAACTTGCCCAACGGCACCCCTTCCCGCCCCCACCCCGCGTCACTTGCGAGCGGTACCAGCTCCTCGTGTTCTGGTGCAGGTGGGGGTGGCAGTGCAGGTGGGGGTGGCAGGAGGGCCCCTCGTGGAGCTGCGGGGAAGGAAATGAATGCTGGGGAGTCAGTGGCAGCGGCAGCCCCTCCCCAGCTGTCCCGGCAGACTGCAGCGCCCCTCTCCAGGGTGCCCCTTCACCTGCGGTGCTCCCCCCATCTGAATGTCCTTCGCCTGGATGCTCCCCAGCGCCTGGGTGCTCCCTCAACTGTGATGTTCTCTCACCTGGGTGCTCCTCACCTGGATGCCCCCTCACCTGCGTGCCCCCGGTGGGCACGAGGAGCCTACTGAGGGAAGGAGGTCTGGGCAGAAGGCATTCCCTGCCCTGGGGCGAGAGCAGAGTGTCCATCCCAGATCCCCCCATCCCCCTTGCCCCCATGCTGTGTGTTTCTGGACAAGCGATGTCATCCAATGTCACCCCCACTCCTCTTTGCAGGGCTGTGAAGTGCCGGCGGCTCTGCTCTGCGCACACAAAGGTCCGGAGCAGTGCACCCAGCCATTCTAGCTCTGAGCAGCCGGAGAAGAGCCACAATTCAAACCTGCCCCCTTGGGACACCGCTGGCCCCGCTGTGCTCCTGGCAGAGTTACAGAAAGCCAGGTCTGGCCCCCCCAGAGAGAAGTGGTTGGTGAGAAAGTGCCGATAGTGTCTGTTCAGGGCTGAGTGGCCCCGGGTGGCTCCTGCTCCCATTGGCGGCAGGTCTGAGCCTGAAGGTTTGTGTCCCTCAGGCTTGGGAGGGCGGGGAAGGAAGAGAGATTCTCTGCCTTCTCAGGTGAGGGTCCGCCCCATCCCTTCCACCTAGTTACAGGCTGTCCCCAGGATGTGCCTGCACATCCCCTCTGCCTTCTTCCTGCCACCCCATCTCTCTCTCGTCTCCTCGGGCCACCTGTGCCAGTGCTCAGAGCTTACACCTGGCTCTGCACACTCAGGGATCACTCCTGGCAGTGCTCAGGGGGCCATGTGTGGAGCCAGGGATCACACTGGGGTCAGCTCCATGTAAGGCAAGTGCCCTGCCTGCTGCACTCACTCTCCAGCCCCGCTTCTACTCTCTGCCAGTCTTTGCCTCCTCTGTCCCCTGTGCCCGCAGGTACAGGGCAACCCCTGATGTGACTTTGTAGTGAGAGGGTGAGTTCAAGCACTGCAGTGCTTTGAAGATTTGTCTAGCAAGTTTTCTGATCCTTACTGGACAACCCTGTTCCTAAAGGGACAGGGGACACCCAGTTCACTGGGACCCCCTTCACATCCCTGGAAGGGGGTCACAGAGCTGCCATGCCAGTTAAATGCCTCCCTTACCTGCAGCACGTGTGTGTGTCTGTGTGTGTGTGTGTGTGTGTGTGTGTGTGTGTGTGTGTCGGGGAACAGGCCAACCTAGGCAGGAAACAGGAATAAGGGCACATGGGACGGAAACCGGAAACCAGCAAGTTTGCCGGAGGACAGTGCAGCCTTTATTTTTCTGGCTCTTTCTATGCTTGTCACTTCATGTGTCCTGCTGCTCTGAGCCTAAGGCTGAAGGCCATGGCCAGCAGAGTTCATGTTCCCCGGGTTCTGTATGTCAGCCTGAAAGGCCCCCTGCCTGCTCTCAGGGCTCCTGAAGGCAGATGATCTAGGACTCCCCCATTTCCTCCCCCTACCCTGTGTGACCCCTGCGTTCTCCTGGCAGGCCTCTGAGCTGGGGTGGGGAGGGTCTCCTGTCAGTATGACTTGCTACAGGAGTACCCTGAAATTGGTCTGCCCTGTTTTCCCCAGCACCCTCCTGAATGAAGACACAGGGGGGTCCTTCTCTCCTGTGAATCTGTGTTTAGTTTTGGGACCTGGTGGTATTGAGAGCTGCTCCCGGTTTGGTGCTCAGGGATCGCTCAGCGACACTGTGCTTTGCTGGGGATGGAACCTGGCCTCTGGAAGCCCCAGTCCCAGAATCCTGCTGGCAGCATGCTGGACACCTGCCCTTCCTGTCAGTCCTCCCTGGTGGAGTGCAGAATAGTGAGGGGCTTGACAGGAGCTGCAGGATTGTTTGGCCCCACGTGCAGTGAGACAGAGGTGGCCAGTAGGAGCAACGGGGCGGCGGGGGGAGTGGGGGAAATCTTCCTCCTGGTGCCCCTCCTCAGTGTATGTAGAGACCCACTGGGGGTGGGGTCCCTGCCTGGCCCAGTCCAGCAAGGGAGGGCACCTCCCTTTCACCAGTACCTCGGGGAGAGGGGACCCCAGGAAGCACCACTCTTGCCCTTCCCTCCCACCCCAATTCACCAGTGTTGCATTTGGCGGGGTCAGGCTGAGCCGACCACCCTTAGGAACCTGCTCCGACTTCCCAGCGCTGTAGACCCCTCTCTCCTCTCGGGGTACCTCCCAGGCTGCCCTCCTGCGCCCAAGCTGGCTGCATGCATTCCTCCCCTCTTCCCAGCCCAGAACACAGAGGTGCTGCCAGTGACGGGAGCCTGGCTGCCGGGCTCTTTCCTTCAGAGCTTCTGAGCCTCAGTAGCCCCCTTGTCCTCCCACTTCCTGTCTGAATGTGGTCTCGGGAGGGCCAGAGGGCTGCCATCCCCACATCTCCAGGGCCTGGACCCAGCCTGGCACGTGCATGTCCAGGGACGCACTGGGCTCTGTGGTCAGCTGCTCTAGCATCTCTCCTCTTGTCCTCTGCCGCCCTGCAGGCGTCTCCTGTGAGGGCGTGAACCCTGGCTTTAGGGGCCATGCAGAGGCCGGGGGCAGGGGCCCGGAGGGCATCCGACTGCGGGCCTGTTACTCTCCGCCCCCGGTGCATCACCAAGTTTGCCCAGGTGAGTGGGCTCCCCCTGCAGAGAGTGTGTGGGGGGTGGAGGGACCTGTTTCTGCATCTTCCCTCCTTTGACCAGACTCTGGGGTTTGAGCATGCTCAGAGGGGCTTCGTGGCTTGCCTGGGGTACCTGTCTGTGTGTTTGCGGGGGAGGGGGGATGAACTTGGAGCACGGGCCCTGGAACCAAGCCCAGCATCTCCTCGTTCATGCAGTACGTGGGCTCCTTCCCTGTGCACGACCTGGGCACGCAGGAGAGTGTGTGGCTGGTGCAGCAGCAGCTGTGGGCGCTGAAGGTAGGGGCTGTGCCACGGGGGCGCTCCTGGTGGGGAGCACAGACCTGGAAATGTCAGGGGGCCTGTCCCTGGAGACGGTCTCACCTGTCTCCACCAGTCATGGAATAAAGACAGGCAGGGCTCCCGTGAGGCGCAGGAGAGGCAGGTCAAGAGGTGAACCCCTCCGCCAGGCTCCCAGACCCCCTTACCTTGGGAGCAGTGACCTGTGCCCCCGGGTTTAGGCAGAGGGTGTTTATTCACAGCTTCCTGTGGGCCCAGCGGGGTGGGGGAGCCACGCATGCTTCCCCAGTTCAGGGGGCCTGCCCGGAGGGTGGGGAGGAGAGGCGGTGCTGAGGCCCTGGAAGCTAATGCCACCCCTGCCCCGTCTCTCCCACCTAGGATTGTCCCCGACGCCGGGCTGTCATCCTGAAATTCAGTCTTCAGGGTCTCAAGATCTACAGTGGGGAGGGCGAGGTAGGAGCTTGGGTGCAGCTGCTGACTGGCAGGACGGATACCTTCCCCTCCTAGGGACCCCAGCTCAGCCCCAGCCTCTCGCCCTGCTGCCCTAGGCGTCTCCCTGGCGTCCAGGAAGCTATGGCTTTGGGGTGCTCTCTCTCTCTCCCCACCTCCCAGGCAAGCTCTTGACAAGTTGCACCTCCCCCTCCTCTAAGACCTCTGCCCCTGCTTAGATGCTGCCCCCACCCCACGCTGTGTGCATGTCTGACAGTGGACCCCCATTTCCCGAGCCACCCCCAGAGATGGGTGCAGGCAGACTCACTGACCACCCGCCACCCCCCGTGAGGCACTGCCCCTCGACACTCATCTCCACGCATGCATGGGGCAGTGCTCACCCCAGCTAGACAGGGAGCATCCGAACCCCGCTCAGCCAACGCCAGAGCGCGGGCGTGTGAGCAGGGACCTGCTGCCGTTGCCTTTCTTGGTGGCCCTGTGCCCGTGGGTACTCTGCCCTGCCCCAAGTTCCCTGGCCGAGGCAGGGGGAACCCAGCAGCCCTGGGATTGTGCGGGTTCCAATTGACAGTGGGATTTGGGCAAAGCTTGGGAGAGAAAACTTACTTTACCTGAAGAGCTTTGGGGGGCTGGCACCCCGGGAGGCCCAGCAGTGTGTGTGTGGGGGAGGGGCGCTGTGGGCAGGGGGTTCCCCAGGGCTGAGGCTGTTGCCCCTTCAGGTGCTGCTGATGGCCCACGCCCTGCGGCGCATCCTCTTCTCCACCTGGTGCCCGGCCGATTGCCAGTTTGCTGTCCTGGCCCGGAACCCGCGGAGCCCGCCCAGCAGCCTCTTCTGCCACCTCTTTGTGGGCAGCCAGCCTGGAGAGGTATGTGGGGCCTCTTCAGGGGACCGTCCCTGAAGATTGGGGGGGCAGTGCTGGGCTAAGGCCTGGACCCCCTCACCACCAGTGGCTTCTTCTTTGGCTTTGCCCACTGAGGTTGTCACAAAAGCGAGTCAGTGGCCTTTGCAGTGGCCAGAAATTAAACTAAAAGCATCATGAACCCAAGGTGTTTCTGGGACTGGTGGCCCATGTTGCAACAAAAAGGGAGTGTGAGTGGAAGAAAATTAAGAAACTTGGGTTTTGAGAGGCCAAAGTGATAATCCAACAGGAAGGGTGCTTACCTTGCATGCAGCAGACCCAGGTTCAATCCCCAGCACCCCATATGTTCCCCCGAGCCTGCCAGGTGTAATCCCTGAGCACAGAGTCCGGATTACAAGGTAGTCCCAAGCCCTTCAGAACAAACAAATGAAACCCCAGGTGAGGGCTACCAGAAGCTCTCCAGATTTATCATGCACTTGTCTTTGAATTCATTTTGGATCCTTGCATGTCCAGAAAACTTTTACTATTGACAAATTTCTCAGGACCGACAGTTTAGGATATTAGGGCACCCCTTCCCCCTGGGGTCCTGAGATGTGAGTTGCACTGACTCCATCCTCCATCCGCTCCTCAGCATGGAACCTGGAGTCCTCTGAGGGCACATGTGGGGCCCACATCTTGAACTGGGCGGGGGCGAGGCCAACAGCTGGGCAGGGGGAGTGGACAGTTAAAGCCAGCGCACCACCACTTACCGCAGGCTCCAGGATCCTGTCTCTGGGGAGCAGAAGGTTTGGTTCTGTCCAGCAAACATTCACCATCACCCCCTCTGGGTGACAGGCTGCCGAGACATGGTCCTTGATCTTCTGGGTTTTGTTTTTGGGGAGGGTCGAGGCTTCCCCTCAGGCAGTGTCAGGGACTTACCTGAGACTTGTGCATACCTGTTCCTGCCCTTTGAACTACCTCCCCTGCCCTACTACTGACCCCTGGAACGCATGGTGCTGACATGTGAGGGCGGGCGGGTGTGTGTCATAGGTCAAATGTGCCGGCCCCAGTGTACCGGCCTCTCCTGTGTTCCATTTCACTGAAGCAGCGCGGGTAGTTGGAGGTGGGGACATGTACGTACAGGGATGCTGTGCTGTGCCCGGAGTCACATGGCAATTCCTCGGTGACCAAACCAGGATTGCGCGCCAGGTTCTGCGACGCCAGGGCTGGACACTTAGCTGCCCCTGAGCGGGGCTGGTGGAGCATCATGGCAGCAGGGCATTTAGCTCCTCATTCCCATCTCTGTGGCATGGGGCCAGGAACGGAACAGGTCCTCATTCGGTATTTGTTAAAATGACTGCGGAAGCTGGTAGGAAAGGCTGCAAGGTGGTGAGGTTTTGAGGGCTAAGTGGGAGTTTGTCCTGGAAGAGCAGAGGGGAGCGCCCCAGGCCTGGAACAACAATGCCGTGGCAAGTGGGGTGCGGGATGCTGTCTCAGGAGTTCCCTCTTGTGTCTCCCACTCCCTCCCCCCTCCTCCCTAGGTCCAGCTCCTGCACCTGCTGCTCTGCCGCTCCTTCCAGCTCTCCTACCTCTTGCAGCACCCTGAGGAGCGGGCACAACCTGAGCCCAGCCCAGGGCCTGCAGGGGAGACGCCTCCAAAACCACTGTCCAGCCCTGAGGGCCCCCCAGGCCTTATCCGGGAACCTTTCGGCCGGGATCAGCTCTCACAGAACGTGCACGCACTGGTCTCCTTCCGGCGGCTCCCAGCAGAAGGGCCTGCGGGCAGTGGGGTACGCAGTCCTCCCCCAGTCAGGGGTGGGCATGAGACAAGGCAGCTGGGCCAGTATTCGGGCTGGCCTGAGGTGGGGGCTGCTGGATTTCAGTGGGGAGGGGGGACTCTGCATGACCTGGCAGAGCCAGGCCTGAGCCCCTTCTCCCGTGGACCCCCTTTTCCGTGCTCTAGAAGGAGCTGTTGGAGTCAGAAGGCCGAGGGGGCACCCGCCACGCCCGCCTGGGGAACCCCTACTGCTCCCCCACGCTGGTGCGGAAGAAGGCCATTCGGAGCAAGGTGATCCGCTCGGGGGCCTACCGCTGCTGCACCTACGAGACCCAACTGCAGCTGTCAGCTCGGGAGGCCCGTGAGTGGCAGGGCCGTGCCTGTCCCCCGGGCACCCAGCCTGGCTCCCGGGTGCCCTCCCTGGAGTGTGTCGGGCGCCTGGGCCCAAGAGTCCATGTCTGCAAAGTGATGACAGTGCCTGAGACATCAGGCCTGAGACTGGGGGTTCCTGGGCCACCACAGAGCTGCAGGGGTGCCTCACCCGTGGGTGGCAGTGAGCGGGGGGTGGGGGGGTGCCTGTGCGTGGGTGCGTCTTTGGGGCGTGGGGTGAATGCCTGTGGGACTGGCAGGGGAGCTGGGACCCTTGGGGTGGGGGTGGGGGAGGCTGAGGACAGAGGGGACAGCTCCTCTGACCTCTGGGTGCTCTCCACAGTTCCTGCTGCATGGGACGCCTGGCCCCATGGGACCAGTGGGCCCTCGGGCCTGGTGGAGACAGACGGCAGCCTGATGGAGAACATCTGGGCCTTTGCAGGCCTCTCCAGGTAGGAGGCCCTCGGCCTGGCTCAACCCCCCTGGGACTCTGTCGTTCTGGGCCTCAGGTCTGGTTTTTGTTTGCAGTTGTTGTGGGTGGGTATGGGGGTCATACCCAGCAGTGCTCAGGGATCACCAGGCTCACGCCTGTTGGTACACGTGAGGGTGGGGAAATGTGGTGCCGTGGAGGGAACTCAGGGCCTCACTTAGGCCAGGTCACACGCCGGTCCCTGGGTCTCAGTGTTCATGTCAGGTAAGAACAGAACCTCCCTCTCGGGGCTGAGGAGAGCACAAATGAGGTCCTGGGCACAGCCCTTGGCACCTGGCGCCCTGGAAGCATTTAGGAAAGGCATGTAAAGGCTTCCTTCCCCGGGGAGCATCCCTAGCCAGCCCTTGGTGTCCCCTTGCTGTCGGGGCTGTTCTCCCCTTGAGGCTGGCTGCCGACCTCAGCCTGCCCCGTTGCCCTGCAGGCCCTGCGCCCTCGCCCTGCTGCGGAGAGATGTGCTTGGGGCCTTCCTGATGTGGCCGGAGCCAGGTGCCAGTGGCCAGTGGTGCCTGTCTGTGCGGACCCAGTGTGGGGTGGTGCCTCACCAGGTCTTCAGGAACCACCTGGGTCGCTACTGCGTGGAGGTAAAGCTGCACCCCTCCCGGAAAACCCTCCAGGGGCAGAGCAGCTCCTGTGCCTCTGCCCCTTACACGTTTCCCACCTCCCCCTCCCCCTCCCATCATTAGCTCTTTGGTCCCGTCGCCTTCCTGCCCCCTCATTGACTCTCTTTGGCCCCACCCTGTGTGTGCCCTCTTGACTGTCATCCCTGCCGCCCTTTAGAAAATGCTTACAGCACCGGTATGCTTATAGCTGGGCATGGGGCGTATCCTTCATTTCTGTAGGCACCCAGTCTTGAAGCCTTGCTTTCCCACACCCTAATCTGTCTTCCAGTTGAGGCGGAAAGTGACTCAGGGCTGGGGCTTTCCTAAGCTAGCACCGCTGCTAAGTCTCCAGGTCTGGAGACCTGACCACAGGTTTTCTGGGGACCTGGGCAGGGGACCAGCGGTGCGGAAGACCTCAGCCCAGACCAGAGTTGGAGGAAAAGAGGAAATGGTATTTGGCCCTGCTAGGACAAAGATCCCTCTCTCTGAAGGGGGCTGGGGGTGGGGGACCCATGTGAGGGGACGGTGGGCACCTTGCCCATGCAGCGATGGGTGGCTGCAACAGATGCTCCTTCCTTCTCCCCTAGCACCTGCCGGCTGAGTTCCCCAGCCTGGAGGCACTGGTGGAGCATCACGCCGGGACCGAGCGCAGCCTCTTCTGCTCCCTGGACATGGGCCGTCTGAATCCCGGCTATGAGGAGCAGGACTATGGACCTCCAGGCAGGCCTTCCCGGACACTCCGGCCACTTGGCCATGCCAAGTCCGAGGCAGAACTGCAGGGCCTGGGCTAGGGGGCAGGCCCCGTGCCCACAGGCCCCACCTCACCCTGGTCCTAGGGCCTCAGCAGGCCACTCTGACCTTTGTCCACCCTGCTGGTTGCTTACCCCTGTCAGTGTGCCCCTCAGATCCACCTTCCATCGCTTCCCTGCCTGTGGGGGCAGCCCTGAGATGGGGGTTTGCCGGTCACTTCTCACACACATGGCCCACCAGCACTTCCCATGAAGGGCCAGGCCACTTTGGACGTGCGTCACCTCTGGGCAGCGTTGGGCCCCTGGGCAGAGTTTCTGGTGGCAGAGGCAGGATATTTCTATTCTGAAGGATAGTCGTGGGGTGGCCAGGATTGGGGCCCTGGTGGGCATCTTGAAAGCACTTCTAACAGAACAGCCAGGTCCTTAGGGGAGTGGTGTTTGGGGAGGCAAGAGAGAGGGCTCACTTTGGGCAAAGGCCCAGGGACAGTGTCTCTCCGCAAGAGAAATCTCAGAGTTCGTGGGCAAGCATGACTACTGGGATGCACTCTCCAGGCTGCTGGATAGAATATGACTGGTTGCTTAGGTCATCTGAGATTAAAGGAGTCCCTGAGTCCTGGGGACAGCAAAAGGCAGCAGGGATGGAGCCACGGGGCCCAAAGCCCATGTCAAGTGAAAGCCAGAGACCAGAGAGGAACTCACCTCATTCCCTCCTGCATAGCCCAGGAACAGACGGACAGACAGACAGACACACACATACATGTGTGTGTCTCTTTTTACCTCTTAACCTCCCACATAACCCTCACCACACACACACATACACACACACACACACACACACACACACTCTGAATACGTGTGCTCCAGCCATATTTATTTAGTCCTATGGGAAGAGCCGGTGGTGAGCAGTAGGCTTAAAGGGGTGACTGGGGCCCTGACCCACACATTCTACCAGCATACTCGCTTTGGGGCTGTTTGTGAAATCATCCAGTGCTGGCATTTTCTTGGGGTGGGTGGAGGGGCAGTGCACAGTGATGCTGCCCGTCGGAAGCCATGGCCCCAGACCAGCCCCATGGGAAATGGGGTCTGAGAAGACCCATCCAAGGAGAAAACTGATGTGGGTCTGGCCAGAGGAGGCTTGTCGTCAGGGAGCAGGGGACTCATGGGGACAGCGCTCATCTAGGGTGGTCCTGTGGGACAGCCCCTTTATAAGAAAGCATACTGAGTTAACTTATTAGCAGTTTCACGTTCAAGTTGATTCTTGGATATGAGTCTGGAGGTTGCCCTACCACCAGCAGAGGAGTGGGGATCCACTGCCAAGGACCTTCTAAGGAGTGATTTTGGAACTTCTAGAGGAGGAGGGGAGGGCCTCCAAGAGTTCAGGCCTCATCCATCTTACAGCCCTCCTGATCTGGAAATGGCCCTGGCTAGGAACCTTGACACTTGCTCAAAGGGACAGGAGGAAATTCTGATGCCCTCAGACACATTCTTCTGAAGACCATTTTATACTGGTCATGCACAGGCGGGAATCTGGTCCCCACTGCCAGTGAGCCCTGTAGGAATCCATCTCCCTAGACAAAGGTCTGCTTCCTGGTGGGAGGCCTCACCCCCACATTTCTCACAGAGGGGGCTTGGAATTGGGCTGGGGCACACACCACCAGAGATTCACACTTCAATGGGCTGGGTTTAGGCCAAAATTTTCTCCCCTTAGAAGCGATTAGTTTTGCTGTGCAAGTCCTCTATGTGGACAAGGTATGGGGAATATTCCCAGAGCACTTTAACATTCCTTGATACCTTTAAAGATTCCATGGTACAAATAGTGAGATCTTTGACCCACCCGTGTAGATGCCTCAGCCCTTGTTCTGTGGAGATCAGTCTTCTCTTTGTGCCAAACCAGCGCCACCTGGGTAACCTTGCTCTCCTTACTGTCGGGCTTGAAACAAAGAAAATCCATCTCTTCAGATTGTCTAATACAGACTTTCCTTTGAAATAAGAAGCTGTTGTCCAGTTGTTTGGTTTTTTATGAATGAACTAGACAGACATTTTCAGGGGCACAGGATGGCCTGAAGGAATCAGATAAGTGATTTACTCAGATCATGCTCTTCTGCTGATAACTAAGCTTCAGTGGGTACTTCCCGTGAGAAGACTTGTGGCCTTGTCATCTGGAACACAAATCAGGCATGGGGTGGAGAGCTAATACAGTAAGGTTATGGTGCTTGCATCCTGCCAGCTCTGGGTTCAAATCCCAGCATTGCATGTGGTTCCCTGAACACCGCCAGGGGTTACTCCTGAGCACATCATGGTGTGGTCTAAACCCCCTCCCCTCTTCCCACACGCAGGGGCTTGCTTCAGTCTCCTTGTCCTCCACCCCTTCCTGGCCTTGGTCACCTCCTCCAGCTTAATGTCCTAGCTTGCCCTCTGCCAGGCGTTTCTCTGTGAAGAGGTAGAGAGCCACAGATCTGCTCCTTGTGTTTGTTGCTTCTCCACTCAGGGGATTTTGGTTTCCCAGGTCACTCTACCTCTCCCCAGACTGGACTCACGGCTCCAGGCTGATTGAACTCTCGAAGCCTGTCACAGCCTGGCAGGTAGCAGACAGTGCTGGGGTACAAGGGAGTTTGAGACTGGACAGCCCTGACGTGTTCTGGCAGAATGGGCAGCTGCGTCAGGGGAGAGCGCCAGCCTCATGGGGTTTGGATCTTGCTTTTAAAATAAAGCTTGGGGCTGGAGCAATAGCACAGCGGGTAGGGCGTTTGCCTTGTATGCGGCCGACCTGAGTTCGATTCCCAGCATACCATATGGTCCCCTGAGCACCACCAGGAGTAATTCCTGAGTGTAGAGCCAGGAATAACGCCTGTGCATTGCCAGGTGTGACCCAAAAAGCAAATAAATAAAAATTAAAAAATAAAGCTTAAAGGGCTGGAAAGCTAGAACAGCGGGGAGGACTGACCTCTCTCGGCCCACCTTGGGTTCAGTTCCCCCCAGCCCCATCGGGTCCCTGGAGTCCCGCCAGGAGCGGGCCCTGAGTGCAGAGCTCAGCTGGGTGTGGCCTGTTAAATAAATTCAATATTAGGTGGCATTATGGGAGGTGCCAGTAGAAAGTAACTTGTCGAGGGTGGGGGTGGGGGGCGAGTGGGTGAGTGTGCCAGGCTCTGGGAAGCCAACAGGGAGATGGCCCAAAGGTGTCAGGCCCTTTGGGGTAGATCGCCAACCCCAGGGCAGGGCCCCTCCATTCCGCCTTCTGTCCTCAGCCCCGGGCGGCTTCTGCTTAAGCTCCGAAGCCTGAGGACTGTGAGCCTTCCACGGGAGAAGGGACGGGTGGGAGCCAGGGCGGGCCCCGGGAGAGAACGTGGACCGGACCTTCCCGGGAGCCGCCGGCTGTGATGCCACGGCGTTGCCCGGCAACGGCGGACGCCGGGCCGGGGCGGCGTGCGTGCGCGCGTGCGTGCGTGCGGGCGAGCGGCCGGCTGGGGCGGCTCGGGTCCTGCGGCAGCCCCTGCAGCGCGCATCCCGCACTTGGCCCGCCGGGCCTAGCCCGGGAGCTGGCCGCGCCCCCCCGGCCTCCGGGCGTCCCCGCCGCGGCCCCATGGCCTCCGAGGCGGTGAAGGTGGTGGTGCGCTGCCGCCCCATGAACCGGCGCGAGCGGGACCTGAACTGCCGGACCGTGGTGACCGTGGACTGTGCGCGCGGCCAGTGCTTCATCCAGAACCCGGGCGCCGCTGGCGAGCCGCCAAAGCAGTTCACCTTCGACGGCGCCTACTACATGGAGCACTTTACCGAGCAGATCTACAATGAGATCGCCTACCCGCTGGTGGAGGTGAGGGGAGAGGCCGCCCAGAGGACTGCCTGGGCCCCCGCCGGGGAGCCCTGGGGAAAAGACGCTGCCCCAGGGCCAGAAAGACCCTTATGTGGGGCCCAGGTGGACACTTAAAGGTCGAAGACTGTTCCTACTGGGTGGAGCCACCTTGAACCCCTCCCCCAAACACACACAGTCACCCCCTGACCCTCCACTCCATTTCTTCCAGTCACCTTCCCACAGAACTGCCTTCCCATCCTCATCCCAGAAATTAATGACTTTTCCAGCCTCTTGCCTGCCCCACCACTTTTCCTCCAAAGAGCCCTGTTTTATCCTGCCCTCCCCTGCTCCCAGGCTAGACCTTGATCTCTGCATGCCCCTCTACACCCTCCCCCCTCCCTCAGACTCTTCCTTCCCCTCTCTGATCCCCTCCTGTCCCTGGCTCTGCAGAGAGTACCTGTGGGCCTGACTTCTGGCCTCTGGAACAAGGAAACCTTCTCCCCCCCACCCCCTTTGGTCTGACTTACAGGGCTTTGACTTTGCAGGGCTTTCATGGGAGGCAGGTTTGAGCTACAGCCTAGGAAAGGCACCCGCTAACCCCTCGTCCCCCCACCCCACCCCCAGCCCAGGAGTCTGGGGCTAGGAACTTGCTGGGCCTACCCACTTGCATGGCTCCTGCATGGCTCCGGGGGCTATTTCCCACCCTGTGCTCCTGAGTTGCTCTGGCGCTGCTCAGCGGGGAGCCATAGGGCACAGGATCAGGGTCAGCCCCCTGAAAGGTGTGTCTTAAGCCCTGTGCTGTCTCTCTGGCCCAAGGGCCTGTTCCTTGCTACTGCTTTCCCCAGCTGTTCAGCAAAGCTCAGTTTAAGGGAGAGGGCACAGAAGTTTCCAGAAAAGAAGGGGAGCCTGGGAAATGCTGCAGATCCTAGCTCCATTGGCATTTGGGGGGCTCTGGGAAGTCCTGCAGGGAAGAAGCTAGTTTGGCTGACTATACCAAGAGATAGTGGCTAATGTCAGTTTACAGGTGAGCCTTTTGTTTTGGCCTGGCTGGCCAGTTTGCAGCTCTGGGAGCACCTTTATCACCTGAGAGCGCTGAAGTGTTCTGATGCCCAGTGTTCCCCCAGGGCCTGACAGGGGATGGTGCCCAGCGCTCCCCAAGGTGTGCTCCTACCCTGTTCTGCGTCATGGCTAGCAACTCCCCTCATCCAGGCTCAGGATGCAGTGGCCACCTTGCTTCTTTCCTCCATCTCTCCCTAGACCCCATGGTCACTAGTGCTGGGAATTCTGTTAGACACCTGCCTCCTGACAGCCCCTCGAGACACAAACTCAACCCAGCCTGTGCTCATTCATTCAGTCATTCCACCAGCCAACACACAGCATCTCCGCCCCAGCATTGCCCCAAAGAAGACACATCCTCTGCTTTCCACTAAACCCCTACCCCCTGGTGCTCATGGTCGGTTGGAAGAGCAGCAACTGAGCTAATCACAAGGATTCAGGGTGCTGAGAGGAACTTTTAGAGAAACATAGAGAAAGGGAGCAAAACTGCTGGGAACAAGGAGGCACGGAGGGCTTCCTGGAAGTGGTGATGTCTAAGCTGAGGAGAGCAGTTGGCCGGGTAAGAAAGCTCAGGAAAAGGTCTTCCTTATTTGAGGAGGAAAAAATGTTTTCGGTTTGGCCTTTGATCTTCACAAAGCTGTGGATGCATGGGACTGGGGTCATTTCTGTCGGGGAGACTGAGGCCTGGATGGCACAGACCTGGCTAGGGTCAGATTCCCAGCTCCCTGCCAGCTGCCTGCCTTGAGATGCCTGCATGTAAATGGTATGCAAAGCTCAGCTTGTTTGGCTCTGAGCCTGGAGTCAGGGAGAGAGCCTGGAAGGGAAGGGGAATTGAGGGGCCCCCTGCCAGGGTCTGAGCCAGCCCCAGGGCTCTGACCACTGGCAGGGCTGCTCCCTCCCAGGGCCTTCCCTTGGGGTTCACTGCACAAAGCCCCCAGCAATTCTTTTGGGGGGCCACACTCAGCAGTGCTCAAAGGTTATTACTGGCTCTGCCCTCCGGAATTACTCCTGGCAGTGATTTGGGGGGACCATATGGGATGCTGAGGATCGAACCCAGGTCTGCTGCATGCAAGGCAAACGCCCTACCCACTATGCTATTGCTCCAGCCTCACCATCTCTTTTTTTTAAAGACTCTTTTTTTAGTCACACCCACCGATGCTCAGGGGTTACTCCTGGCTTCGCACTTAGGAATTACTCCTTGGTAGTGCTTGCAGAACCTTACTGGATGCTGGGGATTGAACTTGGGTGGGCCACTCTGGAGGAAAAGGTTTCACCTGTTGTGTGTTCATCACCCCCCCCCACCCCCCATCACCACTTTTTAAGTCCAGGCTGTTTGTGACCTTCTCTATCAGCCGATGAACTCCGACTCTCCTAGGTACCATCTGCCCCAGATCTGCACATCCATTAGCCCACACAGCCTGCCCTCCCCTGAGCGCTCTCCCCCACACCTGCCTGCTGCATGACTTGTCTGGGGATGTTTAGCCAGTGCCTTTGGCTTCCTCTTCTGCTCCCCTACTCACACTGTGGTCTTGGCGTCAGCTGTAAGAATTCATCCCCCGACTCACCCGGGATTCAGGGACCATGACCTCTGCCACATCCAGACTGGAGAAGAGGGGCGGGGCAGGGGTGGGGCTGCTGGTTTCTGGAGACATCAATGAGTTAAAACCCATGGACTCTCGCATCTGTAGGAGTGGAGTCCCCTCTTCATGCCAGAAATAGTCCCCAGAGCGAGGATTAATTGGGAGGGGGCAGAGGGGGACATGAGGAAATTGAGGACAGAGGCTCTTTAGTAAACCCGGGGGCCTGTGTGGGTGGGTGATGAGCTCACACGTGTGAAAATCAGCACGTTCAAGCCACCGTGGGTTTTCAGAGCAATGATTGCAGAGGGTGGCATCAAGTTCAAGAGAGCCCGTGGGCAGCTGGTGTCACGAGATGGCGAATCGTTTAGGAGAGGAGGCAATGCAGAGCCCCAGGGGAGCACTGGGCCCCCCTATTAGACCCTGCCCCACTGTGAGCCTGTCCGCCTATTCGTCCGCAGGCATTGTCTGATAAGGGAAGCCTTTTTGAAACCTGGCATTTCCCTTAAAACGCGTGTCCACTGGTTTTCACCTCGCTCCAGGGCTGTTCTGCAGACCTGTATCTGCTACAGTGAAAGTGTCGTGTGTCTGTGCCTTGTGGCTGGTGTCCAGCAGCCCTCATGAGCACTTGAAGTCAGGCTGGTGCTACTGAGGAATTTCATGTCAACCCTATTTCTTTAGATAAGGACATGTGCTTCCTGGCCACCCCACAGGGCGCTCAAGCAGCATTTCACTTTAGAGTAGAACGGGAGCCCCCTAGGTAATGCAAGATTTCCTAGAAGGGCTTTGTAATGTGAAGGCCTGGGGTCAGGGAGATAGCTCAAAGGGGTGGCTTTGAGATAGCTCATGCCTTGTGTGCTCAAGGCTCCAAGTTTAATCCTGCCTGGTACTGCATGGCACCAACACTCCCTACAGCACTGCTGGGTGCAGCCCTCGTGGCCCCTGAGGACCGTAGGGCCCAAACACTGCCAGGCCTGCACCAGTGGACCTGGGCCCCCAAGCGCCCTATAAAAATAAAAAAGTGAAAGTAGACAGTTGAAATTCATTTTATTAATACATTTTATTCAGGTCACTATAACCTATTATTGTTTCTATAAAGCATCATTCTATATTAGCTACTAGTGAGATATTTTCCATTCTCCATATCAAGTCTTTGAAATCCAGCATATCAATATCTTACACTCCTAGTTTCAGTCAGATACTCAAGAGTTAATGTTTGAAATAAAGTGTAAAAAAAAAATAAAGTTGTTTTTAATGACGAATATCTCAGACAGTTTCTGTTTTTGTATTTTATCCCTTGGAGCCCTCACCAGTGGGGGCCTCATCTGGCAGTGCTGGGGGGGATCCACATGGTGCTGGGGTTAGAACCCAGCAAGGCTGGGAGCAAGGCTGGTGCTTCAGCTCTTTGAGCCATCTCCCCGGCCCTTGCTTTAGTTCTTAAGGATAAACTCAGTTCCTCAGTTGTTCCTGACACTCAGGCAGCGAGTGGACTGCAGTGCTAGCTGGAGCAGCCCTATTCATTCTCTCAGAGAACCACTCCCCTGGCTTCGGGTCCCCGAGACACTGGAAGCTGTAGCCTAGCAGTTCCTGGTTGGGTGCCCTGCTTGACCTGCCTCTCCCTAGTGATGTGGGCCCCCCAGCTCCATGTGCCGCGTGCAGCCCCTGGCCCTCTTCTGAGCTGCAGGAGCCCATTTCCTCAGACAAGGGAGAGGTGCCCTTGAGTGGCCTGTAAGCTCTGACCAGAGGGCCATGACCAGGACTTCTGGCCCTCCTCCTCCTCAATAGTGCCGGGGCTCTGCAACCCCATGTCGGACTTCAGGATGGGCGTTTATGGTGGATGTGCATGCCATGTGGGCCTTTGAGGCCTGGAGCTGCCGTCTCTGCCCACTTTCTGACACAGGATTCCCCCTCTGTTGTGCCGAGTTATAGGGTCTGTGACCTCAAGGGTATGTGTGTGTGGCTCTGCCTTCAGCCTGGCACGGAGCTGCTCCCAGCAGACACACCTGCATGCCCAGTAAAGGCACCCAGGTGACCAGGTGCCACCCAGCTCACCACCTGCTCAGCGTTACCATCTGCCTTTGCCCCTGCTCTCCCCTCTCAATGTCCCCTCAACTTGGCAGGTGACTTTTCAGTCTCCTGTCAAAATCTAAGGCCCCCATTAAATGCCCCCCTCCTACTCCACTTCGCCTTGGAAGCTGTGCCTGGTTCCCCCACATCACACACAGTTTCCTCTCTCCTCTCACCCTCTGTCTGAACTCACGACACACCCCTCCACTTTCCTTGGGCATGGAGCATCCCCGGCTCCCTGCAAACATTTAGGAAGCACCTCAGAGCCCTGGCATGTCACCTGCCAGCGCCTGAGCCAACTTTTCTAGAAGCCTCACCCCTGCCGTAGGAGCAGATGCTGTCCTTATGTTAGGACAGAGCAGGAAATCTAGGCAAGCTCAGCCCCAGGATACATGATCCTTGAAGGGAGAAGTCTGGATTTAATTATATATATATGATATATACACACACATTTTTTAATTTCTCCTTCCTTTTTCTTCATTTTGGTTTTGGTTGTTGTAATGACTGGAGAACTTGCCAGGTGTGACGTTGTGGTGCCAGGATCACAGGGGCAGCACTCAGCATGGGGGACAGTGCTGGGCATTGAACTCGCAGCCTCATGCCAGGGTTCTCCCTGGGCTCTGGGAGATGGCATCCAGCCCTCATCCAGGTGCTGTGGATAGCTCTGCGCACACACTGGGCAGTGTCCCAGCCCAGCCATCAGGGACTCCTGGAGGACAGGACGGTGCCCACTGCATCTCTGCCCTGCCCAGGGCGCAGGAGCAGTCGGGGCTCAGCCAGGAGCATGCCTTTGTCCTCCCCCACAGGGTGTCACTGAGGGCTACAATGGCACCATCTTTGCCTATGGACAGACCGGCAGCGGGAAGTCCTTCACCATGCAGGGCTTACCGGACCCACCCTGCCACAGAGGCATCATCCCCCGGGCCTTCGAGCACGTCTTTGAGAGTGTCCAGGTAAGGACCTTGAGTACAGAATGGGGAGTCTGGGACTTGGCGCCTGCGGGGGGGCTTCTGCGGAAGTTACAATCCAAGAAGTGGTGGTAACAACGATGACTTCCTCTTTTGTTTGGGGGTGGGTGAGCTCCCAAGGGCTGCTCAGCCAACTGGCAGGTGGCTCAATCTAGGACCTGAGGATGTGGTATTGCTCTGGACCTGCAGTGTCGGGGTCACCCAGACCACCCTGGTGGTGCTTGGGGGCTTCCTCTTCCAGGGCTGCACCCGGCAGTGTGGGGGACCATGAGGTCCTGGGGATGGAAACGCAGCAAGTCTGATGTGGGTGCAAGGCCTGTGCCTTAACCTCTGTCCCCTCTCTCGGGCCCATGTGGCTTCCCATTTTACTGAGAAGTTGCTACAGGCCTTACCCTGTGCAAAGCCCTGAGCACTCACTGATCGCCTGCCCTGGCCCAGGAGATAACTTTTATTCCCATTTTCGAGCTAGGGAAGCCAAGACTTGGAGCTCTTGTGGGCGGGGCCCAGACTGGTTATTCCTGTGTCCGAGCTGCAGGTGAGACTTACCCTGGTGTCCATTGGTGGCAGTGCACTGAGATTCCTGCCTCTGGGGATGGTGATGTGGGGACAGGGAGGGCCTCCTCTGGGCTGCAGAGCCACTGTCTCTGCTCTCAGAATCTATGCTGGTGTCTTACAGAAACAGGTAGTGCTAATGAGAGCTGCCGGGGTTCAGCTCAGGACAGTAGTCAGTTCAGGCCTTCGCTGTGGTCGTGATTTCAGTACGTGAAAACTGGGGTGATTTTTGCTAGATGACTACAGCCAGAGCATTATACAATAGCAGTAGCGACTCAGGCACACACAGCTGGCCCTCTGAGGCAAAGAGAAGGGGGAGTCGGGGCAGCAGGCTGGCGGTGCCGCGATATACCCTTCTCTAGCCTCCTTCCCCTCTTCTTGTTATGTTCTGGCCCTGCAGCATAAGCTCAGCAACCTTCACTCTCTCTGTGTCCACTTCCTGCAGTGTGCAGAGAATACCAAGTTCCTGGTCCGGGCCTCCTACCTGGAGATCTACAATGAAGACGTCCGTGACCTACTAGGGGCTGACACCAAACAGAAGCTGGAGGTGGGTGCAGAAACTGGCCCTGGCTAGTGGGGATTGGCAGGGAGGAGAGTCCAGGGCACCTTTCTTGGTGCTGGAACCTGAATCCCAGGGCAGAGGGTGGAGTGGGGAGGACTTGGCTGAGAGTATGAAGCCACAGTTAGAACTTCAGGCACAGGGCTGGTCAGGTACCTTCCCCTCGGTGCTTTTGGAGTTCAGCAATCTGGGAAATCCCTGGGAGAGCCAGAAACCAGGAGTGGGGTCCAGCCAAGAAAGTGCCCTCCATCAGCAGAGGCCTTCATTCAGTGAAGAACAGAGGTGCCAACAAGGCAGGTTCACATGGGGTATGAGCATCCTCCCTCAGACCTCTGAGCTCTTTCCAGGTGGGGGACTCCCAGCTGCCTCTGTGGCCTCTTTATATAAGCTGGGGGTAAGAGCAACTGGACCAGGGATCCACGCGACACCTCCATCCCCCGTGGGTTGCTGGGGAGAGGCTTTGAGGGATCAGGAACCCTTCTGACTGCGGGGAGAGGGTTCCTCCCCTTCCCCAGTGCCACAGATTCTGAGTGACTGAGTGAGTGGAGGGCTGGCAGCCCCCCAGTTTGCCCCAAGCTTGTGAGGGGCATCTGAGTGGCTGCCTGAGGAACTGGGCCCCCATCCCCCCAGGTTCTCACAGCCCAGGAGGGAGGAGGTGCTATTCTCCCCTTATTTTAGATGGGGAGACAGCTGAAAATAGCAAACATCTGAAACTCCTTGCACCTGGTAAAAAGCCCTCCACCCACCCCCCCAATAAAGTTCACAGAGTAAAGGATGGGGGAGGGGGCCAGCTTTGAACCCCAGTGACCTGACAGGCTCTTAGCGTGTGCTTAGTTCAGGGCCTGATGGACCAGGTGGGGATTGGAGAGAATTAGCTGAGGACCGCGGGAGGTTTGGCGGAGGAGCCAGGTCCACGGCCTGCCTGCAACCAGCGGTGGAAACCCAGCCCACACCTGCGAGGGGATGGTGGGGTCTGCAGGGCCCTCTTCAGGGGGGCCCTGTCCCGTTTACCTGTGTGCCCGTCTCTTCCCCGGGACGAGGCGGCGCACGCGTCCAGCTCCTGCTCGCACGCCTCGGCTGATGCATCCCCGCTGGTTGCCATAGCGACCGGCCCAGGCCTCGCGCTGCAGAGAAGCGAGAGACAGTTGCCAAAGAGCCCAGGAGGGCGACCTTCGCTCGGCGCCCCCGCCCCCTCGCCGCGGCGGCGGCGGGTGGGGGCGGGGATCGCACGGTGCGGGGGGCGCGCCTTCCCGAGACCCCCCCAAGAGAGAGGTTGCCCCCCTTCCCGCATTGCTCAGGCCCGTGAGCCGCCTGCTCTTTGCCCCATCTAGGACCCGCATAGCTTTTTTTGTTTTTAGATGCTGTTCTTCTAGCTGTCAGAAATCTGGTTTATTGTTCTCATTTGGAACAGTAAAACGGTGAGGGAGCCAGAGAGACGAATTGGTTTCCTCCCCTACAAGCCGGGTAGAGATAGCACGTGGGTAAAGGCGCTTGCCTTCACATATGGACCACTGGGGTTTGATTCCCCCGCATTCCCTGGTCGTCTCTGAGCCCCACCAGGAGTGATCCCTGAGTTCAGAGCCAAGAGTAGCCAAGAGCATCACTGGATGTGGCCCCAAAACACAAAACAATCAATATATTTTATTTAAGAAAAAAAAGTCACCTAAACCACCTCCTAAGCTGCTGGCCCAGTTTCTGCTCTCGGGGGAGTGAGGGAGCGAGCGTTGCAGTGACCTGAGGCTGCCCCTGCATCATCCTACTGGAGAGGCATTGCTTCAGGCACCCCCTGCATTCCCCACCTCCCGCCGCCAGGCCATTTTCTAGGGGGGTCTCCTGCTTCCGTTGGCTTCTTTAGACCCACCTCCTAGCACAGTCTTGCCAAGCTTCAGCCCCTGCAGCATCCTCCAAGCCCAGCCTTTAGACTTGTACACTGCCCCATGCCCCCCGCTCTGCTCTGCCATTTAACTCTACAAGTCCTACAAGTCACTTAACCACAGCCATTGGCAGTTCCCAGGGTCCAGTTCGGCAGACAGAGCCTGAGCTCAGCTCCCTACCGTCCCCCCGTGCTCTGGGGCACAGGCTAGCACACAGAATGACCTGAGGCCTCATTCATCCTGCTCCTTCCAGAGGCTTCATTTCCTTTCACACTTGAAAAATGTTGCGCTTCACAGCTCTGTCAGCAACTGAGCAACTCCGCAGGGTGCAAGCAGAGAGCTGAGTGAGCTGGCTGCTAATTGCAGAGAGGGCTAGAGGCTGAGGCCCCAGAGGGGTCCTGGGCAGAAGATGGTCCTTCCTTCACCTCAGTGCTCCTGTGGCCCTGCACTTACAGCAGGGATGTGAGACCAATCCTAGCATCAGGGCAGAGAAGAAGCATGCGCTCAACCCCCAGTCTCTTGTGAAGAAACTGCCCAGAAAGAAAACCACCTTTATATAAGAGGGCTAATGACTCTGGGGACCAGGGACCAAGGCGGCTGATGCCTCTGCTATGCACCAGGCAGGCTGCCCAGCACATCGCCTCAGTTCTAGGCTTCTTAACACACTTTAAAAAACAAAAACAGTGTGGGATGGCGATAGACTGGCAGGGTTCAGAGGTTACTCCTGGCTCTGTGCTCAGGAGTCATTCCTGGTGATGCTTGTAGGACCATATGTGGGGGCTGGGGCGGAACCTAGAACCCAGTCAGCTGCATGCAAGGCAAGTGCCTGAACCTCTGTTCTATCTCTTCATTCCTCTTGAAACCCATTTTACAGATATGGAGGTTGAGGCTCAGAGAGGTTAAGTCACTTATTCCAGTTAGAGGCAGGGGTGGGTGGGCTTGAGGCTGATTAGCTGTGGAATAGACCCCAGCTTGTTGAGGGCATTAGAGGGGGTCAGACTGCATTACAGGTAGACACAAGTGGCCTGAGTTGGGCCTTTGCCTGAGGTGCCACACCCTCGCCCCTCGTGCCCACAGCTGAAGGAGCACCCGGAGAAGGGGGTGTACGTGAAGGGGCTGTCCATGCACACAGTGCACAACGTGGCCCAGTGCGAGCGCATCATGGAGACGGGCTGGAAGAACCGCTCCGTGGGCTACACGCTGATGAACAAGGACTCCTCCCGCTCCCACTCCATCTTCACCATCAGCATCGAGATCTGTACTGTGGGTACGTGGGGCAGGGCAGGGGGCACGGGACACCTGATCCTGAGAGCCTTGGGGTCCCTCCAAAATGGAGGGGGAGAGGCTGGAACTGCCTGCGGGAAACGCCAGTGACCCCTGTTCATGTTGGCCGCCACGTTTCCAGGATAAAGAACGTGAGCCATAGTGGTTTTGATGGTAACTGCCACGGGACACTGTGTGCCCCTTCCCCCCCGTTTATGTGTGTTCTGATAGCAACTCAGGAGGCAGGTGCTAATCTCATCCCTGCTTCACAGAATGAGGAAAGGGGGTCACCCAAGCACTGGTTGCCACTTTGACTTTTTGGTTTCTCTTCTCTCTTTGCACTGCTTTTCTGCTTTTCTGGGGCTCTGTGCTCAGGATTCGTTCCTGGTGATGCTCTGGGGACCATATGGAGTACAAGGGATTCAAGCCGGGGTCAGCTGCATACAAAGGAAATGCCTTAACCCCAGCAGGGTCTCTCCAGCCCTTTGTCCTGCCTTCTTTCTGCAAGAGTAACTTGGGCAGGCAGCCACTCACGTGTCTTCAGACCTTCTCTAGCAATGCTCTGCTTCATCGCACACTTTATGCCTTGTGAGCCCCACAGAGGGGCCAGGGAGGCAGCACCCAAACTCATCTCACCGATCAGGACACTGGGATTCCTCCCTGGGCACAGTTGCATCTCCCCTTAAGTAAGGAAATTGGGATTTGAACCCAGGTCTTGCCAACGTTGGGGCTTTGCTTGTTAACTCCACAACTGCTGCCAAGCCAGTAATCTCTGAGAGCAGCAGGGCAGGAAGCAGCCTCAGCCCTCCTGGAACCTAATCCAAGGCCATAGCCTGGGCAGGTGAATCTTCCCTGGACCCTTCCCTGCTGCCTGCTGGGAGTACATCTCCCCCAGGGATGCTGACCGGAGTCAGATGGGTAGGACAGTCACTGCTTCTTGTGACCCTTCTCCCTCCCTCCCCAATCCCTTCCTTCCTTTTCACCTGGCCATGCTCAGGGATTACTCCTTGTGGTGCTTTGGGGACAATCTATGGTGCCAGGGACTGAACTGGGTTCAGCCATGTGCGAGGCTTCACTTTACCCACTGTCTCTCTGATTCCAAACTTGATTTTGGTACTCTGGGTTTCGTGCTCACATACAAAACTGAGCCTGTTCTGGTCCCAGGAGGCAAGGAGTGAAGGAGGATGTGCTTGCTTCTCCTTGGCCCAGCCCTCTCATTTGGAAGCCCATGTGGAACAGTCTGGACAGCAGAACCCTTCATAGTACCCAGAGCACCCGGAACATGTCGTCAGCAGGGCAGTCCTCATCCTTCCAGAGAGAGCTTTTATTTCCATTTTGCTGAGAGGAAGACGGAGGCTCAGAGTCAAGTGCAGTTCCTTCCCCAGTTTTTTTTTTTTTAAATAATTTGCTATTTGTTCAGCCATTGTCTTCCCCAGTTTTATGGCTGTTGAAGAGAAGAGCAAGATTGGGCCTCCTAGGTCTGGATCTCCAAAATATGTGCCTCTGAACTCCTGCCACCCTAGCCCCTGGGTTCCGCCCAGCCACCACACCATGCGTGGGCTCAGTTCTCAGGTGAAATAAATGCCAGCTGTGTATCAGGCCCTGGGCAGACCCTGAAAAAATTGTGCTGGCACTCAATTCACTTCTTCCCACCCGAGGGGCCAGCTATTGTGGAGCTTCATTTTGTTGCTATGAGAATGGAGGATCAGAGAGAGTGCGTAGTTCTGCCAAGGTCACGCAAACAGAAGGCAGAACTGGGATAGGAACCAGGTCCGGAGTCTCCAAAGCCAGTGGTTTTACACCAAAGGCTGTAACTCATTGGTCACTTCCCTCCACCCCCTCACTCTGGTCTGGGAGGTGAAGAAGAGTCTTAAGAAATTCCATGCTCAGCACCAAATAAAGGGTGTTGGGAGGATCCTCCCAGGGTGGGAGAAGCATGCTGAAAGTAGACTATAGACCAAACATGATTGCCACTCAAAGCCTCTCTTGCAAAACACAGGACCCAAAAGGAGAGAGAGAGAACAAGGGGGAATGCCCTGCCACACAGGCAGGGTGGGAAGCGGGGGATGGGAGGGTGGGAGGGATGCTGGGACCCATGGTGGTGGAGGATGGACCCTGGTGGAGGGATGGGTACTTGATCATTGTGTGACTGAAACCCAAGCACAAAAATCTGTAAGTCTATAACTGTACCTCATGGTGTTTCACTAATAAAAAAGAAAGAAAGAAAGAAAGAAAGAAAGAAAGAAAGAAAGAAAGAAAAGAAATTCCATGCTCAGGCTGGAGCTATAGCACAGCGGGTAGGGCGTTTGCTTTGCATGCAGCCAACCCAGATTCAATTTCCAATACCCCATATGGTCCCCTGAGCACTGCCAGGAGTAGTTCCTGAGTGCTGAGCCAGGAGTAACCCCTGTACATCTCTGGGTGTGACCCAAAAAGGAAAAAAAAAATTAAAAAAAGAAAGAATTCTGTGCTCAAAAATAGTCTCTACCTTCCGGTATTTAAACAGCCCAGGCTACTGATCTCAGCTCTGCTAGTGGACAGCTGTATAACCTTGGGCAAGTTCAGTGCCCTTCAGCTTCCTTACCTGTGAGATTGGCACAAACAATGGTACCCTCTTCTGGAGGAGCAGAGTGGACAGTGAGTCCTCAGTGCCCTCCAAAGAGCCTCAGCCTTGGCCTGCTCTGTCCACAGATGAGCACGGCAAGGACCACCTGCGGGCAGGCAAACTGAACCTAGTGGACCTGGCGGGCAGCGAGCGGCAGTCCAAGACGGGTGCCACAGGAGAGCGGCTTAAAGAGGCCACGAAGATCAACCTGTCACTGTCAGCACTGGGCAACGTCATCTCGGCCCTGGTGGACGGGCGCAGCAAGCACATCCCCTACCGGGACTCCAAGCTGACGCGGCTGCTACAGGATTCCCTGGGCGGCAACACCAAGACGCTGATGGTCGCCTGCCTGTCGCCTGCGGACAACAACTATGACGAGACTCTCAGTACCCTCCGCTATGCCAACCGAGCCAAAAACATCAAGAACAAGCCACGCATCAACGAGGACCCCAAGGATGCACTCCTGCGCGAGTACCAGGAGGAGATCAAGAAGCTCAGGGCGATTCTGGCCCAGCAGATGAGCCCCAGCAGCCTGTCAGGTGGGTGGCTGGGGGGCGGGGGGGTCTTGCTTGCTTTTCTAGCCTGCTGAGAAACTTGAAAGAAATGCCCCCTCCCTTCCCTGTCCCTAGTTCTCGAACCAGCAGGGAACCCGCCTGGGTTCTGCCAGCCCAGGAGGAAGCTGGTTCACCTGGCCCGGCTCATGTCTCCTCGCCAGCTGCAGCTTCTCCATGGCTCTCCCTTCAGGCTGCACCCCTGCAGTCACCTGTCTGCCAGCAATCTCTGCTGCTTACTTAGCAGCTGACTGACTCAGCCTCCCCTCCTGTTTTCCACCCCCCACTCCTGAATAGGCACCATGTGACTGTGACTCCCACACTCAGGCATGTGCCTGTCACCTGGCAGGTAGTCCAGACCTAGAGCATGGACCTACAGGGGCCTGCTAATGGCAGGACTTGGGAATCTTGGGAATCTCTTGGCAAAGGAACGAGCACAAGAGAGTCCGAGTGGATCTCGGCATTGATCTGTTCCCCCCACCCAGCCACTGTTTCTTCCTGTGTGCATGTATACACTCCTTCATCTACCCATTTATCTATGCATGCATTTGTCCCATCATCAATTCATTTCCTCTCCCAATCCCATTCATCCACAAATTTACTCACACATCCACCCATTCATCATCATCCATCCAAGAATCCATCTATTTCATCTATTCCATACCTATCTCTCTTCTCTTCCATCCTTCCTTCCTTCCTATCCATCCACTTCCTCTATCAATCCCATCCATCCACTCATTCACCCACCCACCCTTCCATCTACCCACTCATCCATCTCTCTGTACATCCATCCACATATCCATCATTTAATATATTCCATGCCTTCCTCCTTTCTCCTCTCCATTCATCCATCACCCATATATCCACCTATCCATCCATGCACCCCATCATCCAACCACCAATTCATCTATTCATCCAACCACCCATTCCATCCATCTATCCATTCATTCATTCACTCATCCATCCATCCATCCATCCACAAATCCCTCCTTCCGTCCATCCATCCATCCACCCAACCATCCATGCATCCCACCCACCCACCCAACCATACCTCCCTCCCTCCCTTCATCCATTTATCATCCATCCATCCCACCCACCCATCCATTCATCCATCCACGCATCCTACCCATCATCCATCCCTCCATCCATCCATCCTCCCTCCCATCCAGTCACCCACCTTCGTAGCATCCTTGGTGTCCTCACCATGTGCTCATAATGCAGCACTTCAGACTCCTAAGCTTGCTCTCTCTGCTTGCTATTCTTTCTTTTTTAAAAAGGGGTCCCCAGCCCAGCAGTGCTTGGGGATTTCAGAGCTCATTCTAGGGGTGGTGCTTGGCCCAACGATGCAAGCTTGATGGGGTGATGGTTTTCTTGATGGTACAGTGCTCAGGAGCCCATGCAGAACCTGGGATCAAACTTAAGATCTTGTATAAGTCAGGCAGCACATCCTTACTGCTGCACGCTCTCACCAGCCTCTCCCAAGTTCTTTCTCTTCTTGGAGTGCACTGCCTTGTGACAGATTAGGGTTTTGCTCTTTTCTTCCCTCTCTCCCTCCCTCCCATTGGAAACCCATTGTGCGTGTGGGGTTCTGTTTGTCGCACTGGTGCTGCATCCCCAGCACCTGCATGTGTAGGGCTCAGCCAATACATGTGGAATGACTGAGGAAATTCACACTCGACACACACATGTGTTTGTCTGGTTCAATACGCCAAGTCCTTTCTATTTTTGTCTCTGATGTTTTATTTTGTTTTTGGGCCACACTCAGCAATGCTCAGGGCTTACTCCTGGCTCTGTGTTCAGGTATCACTTCTGGAGGTGCTCAGGGGAACTTTATGGGGTGCCGGGGATCGAACTTGGGTTGGCCACATGCACGGCAAATTCCCCCTGTACTATCTCTCCAGCCGCTCTTTTCTGTTTGTTTGTTTTATGGAGTCAAGAAATCTTATCAAAAGGGAGAGAAAAGAAAATGAGCTTGTGAGAGAACATGGGCTTCTGCAGAGAGAAACACGAGTCCCAGCAGTAAAGAGAGAGAGAGAGAGAGAGAGAGAGAGAGAGAGAGAGAGAGAAGAGGGGGAGAGGGGAGAGAGAGGGAGAGGGGATCGATCACTCCCACTCTGTTGGGGTGCAGCCGAGTCCAAAGTGCTGTGTGCCTCTGAAGCCTTGTTCTAATATTGGTGCTGCTGTTTCTTCTGCTTCCTGCTGTGTTCCTGCAGATCAGGGCCCCTGGGGTCTTAACCCCTCATTTCTGTTTCTTCCAGCTCTGCTATCCAGTCAAGTACTTGTAAACTCCACACAGATGGAGGAGAAGCAGCTGTCTCCACGGGTGACTCAGCATGACACGGAGGCTGAGAAGCAGTTGATCCGGGAGGTGAGCCTCTGGCAGAAGGAGGAAGGGAGGGTAGCAGAGGGGCATCTCCAGCTCGTCATCAGCTGATTCCTCTCCCTCAGTGCTTAGAGGGCAGATTTCAGAGAGGTTCAGCATTGACTCCAGCTCACATAACTAAGGTCCAGGACCAGAAGTCAAGTGCATCTCACATCCCCACAGTTGGGGCGAGCAGTGTGGGAACACAGGGGCCTGCCTTAGGAGTGAGCTGCTCCACAGTACTCCCGCCGAAGTTAGCAGACGGGGGAGCGAGCACTCCTGGCATGGGGGGGTGCAGGGAGGGCATGCAAAGGGGAGATCAGTGGAAGAAACTGATACCCTCTGCAGGTGCCAACAAGCCCTGGGCTGAGAGGAGGGCAGCCTGGCACCCGTTGGGCTAGTGGGGAAGTGAGGTGTTGATTCCCCATGAAGAGCTATTGCCTGGGTCCTCCTCCCACAAGTTCCTTCCAGCATCCTTGGGGTTCTGCAGTGCAGGTAGCACCCCAGTGTACAGGTGTGGAGGTGGCCCCCAGCAGGGCGCTACACCTGCAGCAGGGCACCCATGTGGCAGCGGGGCACCCACGTGGCAGCAGGGCACCTTCGAGCCTCCTGACTCTAGCCTTGGCTCAGCCCAACTCCCGGCTCTGTCTGTGCTGTGATTCCCGCCATCCAGGACCCCAGTCCCTGTCTGGGGTGCTTCGTCCTGGCAGACACCTCAGGACTGCAGCCTCATCCACTCACCTCTGACCTCAGATGGCTGGGGAAGGCTGGAGACTCCCAGGCCTGAGACCCCAGGGGATGGCCTCTGCCTGGTCTCTGAGATTCAGGGAGCAGCCTGATGTGTGTGACCTTTCCAAGTCCATCCTGGCCCCTGGGAAGGTTCTGGAAGCATCGCTGTTTTCTCTGTCTTTTCCCGCTGCTGTGGGTCATCCTGGACTGCAGCTCAGGGAATGAGAGGACTCCCACTTTGGGGTTCAGAGTGGGTTTTGCAGTCACCCACTGACAGACGGATATTCACGACACAACGGTGGGACCGCAGGACTGGCCTCACGTCAGGATGGCAGGAGCAGGTTGGCGGCGGATACCTGGCTGGTGGAGAAGTGAGGTTCTGCCCCCCACAATAGTCAGTCACCAGGGAGAGGAGATACTGGCTGACTGGTGATGATGGGGTTCATCGGCCCTGGGATGGGGGTTACCTGCTTCTTCCTCACTGGCTGGACAAGGGTGGACACAGTCCCAGAGAGCACAGCCACATTTTTTTCTTTCTCACCCTGAAAGTTTTCTTTAGAAGTCATTTCTTGTTCTCCGCCCTTTCCTGTTTTGTGTGACAGAGAGGAGGGTCGTGTCCACTTGTTGTGGCTGGGATCACACGGCAGTGCTACAGGGGTCATGCTTGGTATATGGGGCTGTTCTGGTATGTTGTGGGGGGGTAGTTTACTGGGTCACTAAGGTTCTGGGTCACTGACCCATCACTGGGACAGTTTTTTTTTTGCTTCTGTTTTTTTGGGGGGCTGCACCGCACACCCTGCAATACTCAGGGGTTACTCATGCACTCAGAAGTCACTCCTGGCAGTGCTTGGGGAACTCTAGGGGATATCGGAGATTTCAGCGATTTCTTTGTGACACACACTCGCGGGGGAGAGTTGGGTGTGCATCCTTCCTCCCTGTGCTCCCAACCCTCAGCTGTTTGACCATTCAAGATGTGCTGGAAACAGGGGTTCCCGCTAGGTCCCAGAACCAGCAGGCACCAGGGCTAAATGGGGAGGCCTCAGTGTGGTCGGCAGGGGATGCTAGGCCAGAAGGGGTGCCTCAGGGGTGGCTCTGGGTTCAGGGATGTGCATAGGGCAGCCCACTGTCACTCTCTGACCAGCCTGTCAAACCCTGAAGCCAGTTTTCTCCCCCCTTCTTGGGGAGAAGAGCAGACTTCTGGGTTGGGCAGAGGGTGACAGGGAGGTGTTCCCAGGGTGGAATACGCCCCAGCAGGATTTGAGGTCTTGGTTCCCCTCCAGCCCCCACCAAGACACCACCAAGTGTTTTCTTATCTTTTTTGTTTTGGCATCACATATGGCCATGCTCAGGGCTTACTCCTGCCTCTGAGCTCAGGAATCAGTCCTGATGGGGTTCGGGAGACCAGGTGGGATGATGCCAGGGATGGAACCCGGGCTGGCCATGTATAAGGCAAACACCTGCTGTCCTGCGCTCCAGCCCCCACCAAGCATTTTCTGAGCTTGGTAACTGGAGGCACAGGGGACCACATGAGAGTCTCATCATTTGAAATCCTGGCGGTAGAAGGTGATGTCTCCATAAACCACTGGGAATGATCTAGAATCGGAGAGACACTTGCAGGCAGGGGGGAGACGGGTTGGAAGAGCATCACCTCCAGAGGGGGGTCTTGACTTCTGATGCTGGTCCACAGCCCCCCATGGGAGGGGAGGCAGCGCTTCTAGGCTCTGCTTCGGGAGGATGGGCGGAGGCCCTGGGACGGTGAGCAGGGTCTGTTTGACTGTTAGTAAGAGACAGGAAATATGGGGGCTTCGGGGAGAGGGGGAGCACCAGGGAGGCTTACTGAGCCCCCAAGGGCCCCGCCTGAGATTTGGAGTCACACATTTCCTGGCGACAGCGGGAGTGAGGGCGCCTGTGCACTGTGCACTGTGGATGCGTGCCTGCTTATTTGTATGCAGGCAACGTGTTATGTTTGTCCATATGTGCACCTGCACGTGTGAACGTGTGAGCATGAGTACCTGCCCACAAGGACATGTGTGTGAACATATATGTGTGTGTGCACATGTGCTTCGTGTATGCTTCTGTGCATGTTCTCATGCATGTGGGTGTATCTCTGCATGTGTGTGCACACATGTGGGCTCGTGTGCATATGTGTGCTTGTCTGCACACCTGTGCCCTGTGTACATGTGTGTGTCTCCTGCTAGCTCTGGCAGGAGTCTAGGCATCCCTGGGTCTGGCTGTGATGGGAGGAAGTCCAGGAAGGGGCCTGCTGAGCACAGTGAATATACTTGAATGAGTATAGCGCAGGGCCTGGGGTCTTGCCCGGTGCCCACGGAAGGGAAGATGGGGAATAGAGGAGAGAGAAAACTGGGAGTCTGGGGGCACACCTGGGGGCTCTGGGAAACCCTCTGGCCGACATGTGGCTCCTCCTGGCCTCTGAGGCACTGCAGGGATGGGCCTGGAGAAGCCTCTGAAGAGTGAGTCACTGGCACCAGCTGTGCAAGTGAGCTCTGTCCCACCCCCCTCCCCCGCCCCTGCTGGGTGCCCACATCAGGCTGCCTGCACCAGGGGCATCTGTTCAGTGGCTCTGACGGACTCACTCCTCCCGGCCCTCCCCAGCCGCTGTCAGAGCCTGGAATTTTGCACTGAAGCTTTAGCTGTCCGTCTCTCCCTCTCAGGAAGCTGCCTGCCCTCCACGCAGAGGGGCCTGATAAACCCATGGGCTTTCCAAGAGTCAGGGCTATGTGAGATGCAGGCCAAGAAGAGGAGGCGTAAAGGTAGACAGAGTGTGAGCAGGCGGCTCTTAAGGGGTGGAGAAAGAGCCACCCAGAAAATAGCAATAAACAAACAAACAAACAAAAACAATTAAAATTCCCCAACCCACATTGGGATGGCTCCAGCCTGGCAAAGGGTCTCTGAACTCTGTGCTTTTCACCATAGGTCTATTTGATCACAGAAACACCCTGTCAGCCACTCTGACCACACCATCTGCGTTTACATTAACCTCCTCTTAAGGTGCCCCTTCAGGGGTGAAGGCCTGTGCACCCAGGGTGTTACTGAACTGAGGTCTGCAGGGGAGAGCTTGCCCAGGACCAGGGCAATAGGCGTCAAGGGCAGGGGGGGGAGGGGGACAGTGGGCATGGCTAGGAGCAAGAAGTGCCCCGTGTGCCCTCATGTACCACAGATGAAGTGTGGTCTAGGGGTGGGCAGACCAGCTCACTGGGAACTTGAAGTCCTGTTGAGCTGAGACGTTTTCCTCGAATGTGACGATTCAAGTTTGAGCAGGAGAAAATCAGGCTCTAGTGGACAGAGGTGGGGATGGGCGTGGGATGGGGGCAAGAGAGAGGAGGGGCATCTGATGGGAGGCTGTTGGGCCAAGAGTCGGTGGCGGAGGCAAGGGTGGAGAGAGGAGGTGATATGGAAGCAAAGATGGTGTGGTCAGAGTAGATGAGGGGAGGTTTCTGTGATCAAATTGAACTACGGTTAAAAGCACAGAGTTTAGCGACCCTTCACGAGTCTGGAGCCATCCCAGTGTGAATTGGGGAATTTTAATTGTTTTTGTTTATTTGTTTCTTTATTGCTATTTTCTGGGTGGCTCGATTGCCCAAAGAAAGGGTATTGAACATTGTGCTAAGAAACGTTGATAAAATGCCCCCCCCACCGCTCTACCTCCCGCCCTTCATATCCCCCAGGAGTACGAGGAGCGTCTGGCCCGGCTGAAGGCTGACTACGAGGCTGAGCAGGAGTCCAGGGCCAGGCTGGAGGAGGACATCACTGCCATGCGCAACTCATATGACGTGAAGCTGTCCACCCTGGAGGAGAACCTGCGGCAGGAGGCAGGTGGGCATTGTGCTGGCATGGGGGGCACGGCGGGGAGCCTGCGCCAGGAGGTGGGTGGGCACTGCACTGGCATGGGGCACGGGGCGCGGTGCGACTTCCTCCTCAGGGTCAGTGACCGGCAGAGATGCAGGCTCAGTCTGGCCCGCACACTCAGAGCTAACACAGGGGTGGGTCCCTGGCTTGCATGGGGCTGACCTGGCATGATCCCAGCACTGCCAGGAGTGACCCCTGAGCACAGGCCCAGCAGTGGCTCCTGAGCACAGCTGGGTGTGACCCAAATCACACATCCCCTCCCCCCCCAAAAAAAGCAAAAATTCCAGTGATTCTAATTACACAATTCCTTATTTTATTTTTTAAATGTAGTTTTTTTTTCTTTTTGGGTCACACCCAGTGATGCATAGGAGTTACTCCTGGTTCATGCACTCAGGAATTACTCCTGGCAGTACTCAGGGGACCATATGGGATGTTGGGAATCGAACCCGGGTCGACCACGTGCAAGGCAAACGCCCTACCCATTGTGCTATTGCTCCAGCCCCTTTAAATGTAGTTTAAATGTAGTTTTTTCCCAGCCCCTTTAAATGTAGTTTAATGTAGTTTTTTTCCTGCTCTCCCAAGAGGTAGTCAGGAGGCCTGGGAACACTCCTGGCAATTCCTGGCTAAATGGCCCAGTAGTCCGGGATGCAGTGCTTCTTGGGCCCTGCAGTGCTGGGAATAGATAGAACTAGAACTGGCTTTGTTCAAGGCAAGCACATTAATCCCTGTCCTATCTCTCTGGCCCCAATTATCCTCATTCTGTAGATGGGTAAATTGAGGCACAGAGAGGGTAAGTAATGTGCCCACACAGCTTGTAATACAGAACCAAGCTTGGCACCTAGGCACCTAACTTCAGAACCAGTATTCTTCCCCACAGCCTACATCATGCCTTGTCCATGGGCTGGGCTCAGTTCTAGGCTAACTTAGCACTGTCACAGATTGGTGAGAAGTTATTGCTAAGTCCCCTGTCTGAGTATTTGTCTTTTTTGGTAGCCTCTTCTCATATTTGAGTCACGCTATTACCAAGCAACCACATCCCATAATAAGCAGTCGTTAATTAGCAAGCACATGGACCTTTCTGGAAATTTTTGTCTCCTTTTGACTTTCTAGAATGCTCTACCCACACCACTATCATTCAAATACTCATGTGACCAGGTGGCCTTGGTTCCTGGTATACTTTCCAAAGTACTGTCAAATCCGACTTGTACTGAGGGTGATGTGCAGAGCCAGGCCTTCTGCAGGGCCTTCAGGTGGACCTCTCTGCTGTATGGAGCTGCTGAGACCTCACACTGCCCGATGTGTGTGTGTGTGGGGGGGGGGCAGGGGGGATAGTGGCGGGAATCTGACTTTGGCGTGAATGTTCCTTTTGGCAAAGGGTGCATCAGCCCTGTCTTGGGGGCCCAGGATGCGAGAGGAACATAGCGGAGGTCCTGGTGCTCCAAGCCAGGAGTCTGAGGAGGTCCGTGCACTCCCATCCCGTCCAAGCTTTCATCTATTCCCCATGGATCTGACTCACCCTGTGGACAAACGCCCTGGGCCGGTCACTCCAGAGGGGGCACCTGGAGCTCTTGGGCATGAAGCCTGCTGTTCAGGGGCCCTCAGCTCAGAGGCACTAAGACCCTCCCCCCCACCAGGCAGTCAGCTTGTACCTGGGACGCCTCCTAAGGCAGGGTTGTCAGGGCCCTGCACCTGTGTGTGTGTGGGAGCTCAGAGAGTAGGAAGCAGCTCACACTGCTCATCAGGGAAGGCTTCCAGGAAGAGGTGGGCCAAGATGGCGTTGGGAGATCGCAAGATGGCGTTGGGAGATCGGGGAGAGGTTGGTGATCTGAGATGGCAACCCCATGGCTGTCTTGGCATGGTGGGGAGGTGCTGGGCAGCTGACTCAGGCCGGATGATTAGGATCCCCTTTCTGGGGAGTGTGCCTTCGTTCTAAGCACTGGGATGCTGTTTGCAGAGACTGTGCTGAAGGCCGAAGTCCTCCAGGAGCCCGAGGTCCTGTCCCAGGCGGAGTTTGCCAGCAGGTCAAAGTACTCACCCACCTTCCAGCTGGGGATGGTTCTGAAGCCCGAGACCTGCTGTGTGGCCGGCACGCTGCCCCGTGAGCACATCTGCACGGCCAGGCTGGTGTTGGAGGCTTCCTCTGGGCCCGGCGAGTCTTCTGCACTCGAAGACCCTGATCAGTCCAAGGCCTTCCCGGGGCCCAAAGTGGAGGTCGTGAACAAATCCTGCTCGGCACAGCCTCTCTGCCTGGAGGCTGAGGACCACCAGCTGGAGGGACAGACTTGCTTCCAGGAAGAGGAGCCACCGCCGGTGGAAGCACAGGTCCCCTCCTTGAGGGCCGACCAAGATGTTCCCCCAGTGGACAAGCCCCTGCAGGTAGCTTAGGTCCTGCCGAATAGCCTGCACAGCCCCAGCAGGCACCAGCGCGGTTGGTGATGGGCGGGGGTGGGGAGGGGTGTGAAGCGGGGAGGAAGTGACCACAGGGACCCTGGGTACATGCCCACCTCTGACCTGGGCCTCAAGCACAGCCGCCACCCTCTCCACACCCAAGTGAGGGCCCCAGCTCAGGGTCACGCGCACCGGAGGGTCTGGGAAAGAGATGCCTCTGGCGCTGTGTGAGTGGGGAGAGGCAGCCAGGCCTGGCTGAGGTTGGGCACCTGCTCAGAGGGTTGCCATGGTTACGCCGCACCACCAGGCCCAGAGCAGCTGGAGCAGCGACCTGGCTCAGCCCACCTGCTCTCCTGGCGGGGACAGGGGGCTGCGGCAGGGATCCAGCTACCTTTGCCTTGTGTCTGGGCTCCCATCCCAGCTCTGGCTCTTCCGGAGCTGTGTGACCTGGGGCGGTCAACTTCCCAGGCCTCGGCTTCCTCGTGTCTCTCATGGGGATTCGGATGCCCGTGTTCCACCAGTGTCGGGGTGGCCCTGCAGGGATGCGGTGGCATCAGGCAGCCAGCTTACACAGGACATGCCCCATCCCTCTTCTCTGCTATCTCCTCTCTCTTCCCTGTTTTCTCCCCTCAGTGCTTTTTGTTGGTTTTTCTTTTCTTTTTCTTTTTTTTCCTTTTTGGGTCACACCTGGTGATGCTCAGGGGTTACTCCTGGCTCTGCACTCAGGAATTGCTCCTGGCAGTGCTCAGGGGACTGGGAATATGCATGCTGGGAATCGAACCCAGGTCAGCTGCGTGCAAGGCAAACACCCTACTCTCTGTGCTATCACTCCAGCCCCAGTTGTTTTGTTTTAATATCCAGAGTCACATTCTTGGTGCGCAGGACGTACTCCTGACTCTCTGCTCAGGGATCACTCCTGTCTGTTTGTGTTTGTTTTGTTTTGGGGCCATACCCCGCAGAGCTCAGGACTTCCTCCTGGCTGTGTTGTTTAGGGATCACTCCTGGCGGGCTTAGGGACCGTATGTGGTGCTGGGGACAGAAATTGGATCAACTGCTTGCAAGGCCAGCACCTCACCTGCTGTACTTCTCTCTGGACCCTCTCCCCGTTCCCTCTGCTGTTCCTGGTGGGACGGGGGGCGGGGGGCAGCTAGGGGCACTGAAGAGATGTGGCACAGAGTCATTATAGGCCCCATTGATCGCTTTCCTTCCCCACCCCATTTTCCTGCAAACATCCTCTCCTGACAAATCAGCTGGAGCCCAGTGACACCAAATCTGAAGTTGAGGCAGATGACAACCTGCCCAAGACAGTGAGTAGCTCCCTGCCCCAGGCCCTGGTCCCGGGAGACCATCCCGGGCCTGCTTCTTCCCAATACACCCCTGCTTGTCCCCTTCATGACACAGACACAACCACCCCAGCCCCCTTCTGCTCCTCAGCACCCCTTGGTAAAGTGCAAGTTCGAGGAATTGCCCGGTAAGCCTGAAGCTGGGAGCCAGGGGCCTGAGACGGGTACTCTGCTGCCACCAGAGCCCATCGGTGGTGGGGAAGTTCCTGCCTTTTGGGCTCCCTGACACTCACAGGAGGCCCTCTCCTAGCCCATGACTGAGTCCCGAGCCTCAGCCACCTGCTCGGGCCACGCACTGGGCCACAGACCGACACTTCTAACCAAGGTGGGAAATGGTGGTGTCCAGCCCTTCTCACCTTTCCACGGGCCGGTGGTTAAAGAATGTTGATCTAAAGCACAGAGGACAAGAATAGATGCGCTGTTCGGCCACCCCCACGGCACGGGGGTAGTCAGAACATCGCTGCTTTCCACGCTCCTCTTTTCCCTTCTGCTTAGCAAGCTCAGCAGGCGACAGCGAGTGAGGGTGGAGCTCACCCCCTGATGGAGGGGACTCCTAGCTAGGAGGCAGCCCACAGCCAGGCCTCAGTGCTTCAGGCCTGGGGTGACGAGGGAAACCCTGGCTCTGCAAGGTGACATGGAAGGCATTGAGCTGAGACAGGTGCCCCAGTCCCGTGACTGAGAAGACTTTGATGTTCAGTAGAAAGTGAGCACAGAATGGACAAGGCTGGAAGTGTAGAAGGGAGCTGGGGAGGCCCAGTGCTGGCCGCAGGCTGCAGCGGGCTGGGGCAGAAACCCAGGTTCTTGTAGTTGGGATGGGAATCAGGCAGAGGCGCATTCAGGAAAGAACTTGCACCCATTCGTGTATATATGCCCCCCAAATCTCGTCACTTTCCTTTGTTGTCATTATTGTTGTGGTTGTGAGGGCTCACACAAGCCTGACTCACATGTGTCTTGCACATTTTCAGCTGCGGTACCGTGGGGCGGGGGGGTTAACATGTAGGTATCAGTGCTTGCAGCTCAGGCTGTGGTTCAATCTGGGTTTCAAGAAAACTGCTGGGCTGGAGCGATAGTATAGCGATAGTATAGTGGTTGCCTTGCACGCGACCGACCTGGGTTCGATCCCCGGCATCCCATATGGTCCCCTGAGCACCGCCAGGAGTAATTCCTGAGTGCAGAGCCAGAAGTAACCTCTGAGCATCGCTGGGTGTGACCCAAAAAGCAAAACAAAACAAAAAAAGAAAACTGCCCTACTGGAGTGTATTAGTTTGCACACTGGGGCCCTGGGATTAATCCCTGGCACCACATGGTCCCCCGAGCACTGCCGGAAACATCTTGTGAGCACTGAGAGCTGGGGGTTCCTGAGCACTAGAATATGAGCTCTCCCTCCTCCCACCAGAAGGAAAGTTGCTGGCACCCAGAGAGCCTGGATCGTGAGGGGCGCGGAGAGAGACCGACTGGGGTGCGGGTGGAAATGCTGACTCTAAGAGCTGAGAGTCTCTGAGCAGAGGCGGTGGCTCAGGGTTTGGAGGTGTGGGGACACCCTGTCCTAGTGAAGGCTGCCAGAGCGCATGGTGGTGTGGGGGTGGGGCGCGGCCTCCACCTCCTTTTCTCTGTGTGCAGGAGGCGGACCTGGGCCAGGAAATGTCTAAGCCTATGGCCGTGACAGCAGAGGCCAGCTCAGGGCCGGAGGCTGTGTCCCAGCCCCTACCGAGTGGGACGATGGACAGCGCAGACGTGGAGGTGTCAGTGCTGACCGACGGCCTGACTGCCCCGGTAGACCAGCTGCAGGTGCTCGCCCGGTAAGCCCAAAGCTGGGAGCCGCGGGCCCAAGAGGGTACTCTGGTGCCATCAGAACCCGTCAAGTGGGAGCTTGGCTTTCAGGCTTCAGGGTCCCCCAGGGTCAAGGTCCCCTGGCCCTGACAGCGACCCCCAGGGTGCGCTGGTTGGGTGGGGTCTGGGCTGCTCCTATGTGCTGGTGTGCAAGTCACTTAACACCTCACTTAAGACCTTTGTTTTGTTTTTCCATCTGTGATGGAGAATGTCATTCTCCTAACCCTGAAAAAGCCTTGAATATGGCACTTAAAAAAAAAAAATCTCAGGGCTAGGACGAAGAAGACGTTACTGGCACCTGCTCGAGGCAATCGACGAACAACAGGGTGGTCGTGATCGTGATCGTGATGGAGAATGAGGGCGGGGCCACTGGCATCACCAAGTCAGCCCTTGGGCACTACCAGTTGTGGCCCCCAAATAACCAACAAAAAAAACGTATGCCTTTAAAGGGCAGAACACTAAACATTTGGGCCTTTTGGATAGAAATATCCCTTGCTTGGGGTCGGAGAGATTGAATAGCGGGTAGGGCACTGGCCTTCCCCGCCTCCAACCCGGGTCGATTACTGACATGCCATATAGTCCTCTGAGCCCTGCCAGGAGTGAGCCCTGAGCACCACCAGGTGTGGCCCCCAAACAAAACAAACAAACAGAAGAAATATCCCTTACTCTATTTTAGTTTTTGAAACATAGGTGCTGTGCTTTGTGGGGCCCCAAATTATCAGTGTTTGGGGATTACAGCGCTGCTGTTCCAAGCCCTCCCCAGAGGACCAGCACCTATCCTCCTCCACTCCCCCTGTTCGTGTGCTCAGCCCCACAGGCCGGCTATCAGAGGCTGCTCTCATGGCTGCCAGCCTCTCCCCCCACTCAGAAATCCCCGTCCTGTACCCTGCTGGACAGCACACCCACGGGTAGCCAACATTGCCCACCCCGGGGCAGTTCTGGTCATGCCCACCCCCACCCGAGCCTGCACTCAGCCCCAGCCACGGGTGTCTGTGGGGTGGGACTCCAAGCCCTAGTGCTCGGGAGGGCACCCTTCCCCGCACCTCTGTGCCCGTCTCCACGGGGAAGGCCCTGGGTAGCGCGTGCAGGACGGCAGAGCTCAGGGATGGCAGCTGCTGTCACGCTTGCTCTCTTCTCCACAACGGCAGTTTGCAGCTGCTGGAGCAGCAGGTGGTAGGGGGGGAGCAGGCCAAGAACAAGGACCTGAAGGAGAAACACCGGCGGCGGAAGCGGTACGCGGACGAGCGCAAGAAGCAGCTGGTGGCGGCCCTGCAGAACTCGGACGAGGACAGCGGCGACTGGGTGCTGCTCAGAGTCTACGACTCCATCCAGGAGGAAGTGCGGGCCAAGAGCAAGTTGCTGGAGAAGATGCAGAGGAAGGTAGGCCCCCGGCTCAGTGTGTAGATTGGGCACTGGATCCACTTCCTGCCATGCTTTACCGTCATCCCTTCCCTCCACCGATGCCATGGCAGTGGCTGGGGTCCACGTGTGTTATTGGTGGGGCTCGCCTGTGGGAGGCTCTCCTCTGGTCGCAGGGCTGGCACGTATGCTCTTTGCAGAGCCACACTCTGGGGCGGTGGCACCCACATCCGGAGCTTCGTCCAGGTGTTTGCACACACCCTTGGGGTGTTACCTGGAGATGGATCTCAGGGTTGCAGGATTGAATTCAGCACATGGGGCAGTAGGGACCTGACTCACATGGGGCCACGGCGCCTCTCCTCCTGCTCTCAATGCCAGCATTTATTTACTCAGTGTCCCTATATGTGTGCCCTGGTGGTTGCGATTCTGGGCAGGGCCACTGCAGTGCCCACATCTGGAGCTTGTGTCCAGTGGGTGTGGTGTGTGTGTGTGTGTGCGTGTGTGTGTGTGTGTGTGCATCTGTTGGAAATACCACAACAGAGGAACAAGAGAACAGGAGTGAGTGAGCACACTAGGAAGAGTATATGAGATGTTTGTGTCTGTGTGTTGTGTGTGTGTGTGTGTGTGGTATGTTTGGGGGTGGGGGGCTCTATTGGTTTTTGTTTTGTTTGTTTGGGGGCCACACCCAGCAGTGCTCAGGGCTTACTCCTGGCTCTGCACTTGGGCATCACTCTTGGCAGTGCTCGGCAGACCTTATGGGGTGCCCGGGGACCCAACCCAGGCAGCCTCATGCAAGGCAAATGCCCTACCTGCTTACTGTCTCTCCAACCTATTTGTTTTTTGGGTTTGCTGTTGTTGTTGTTGTTAACTGAAACGTAGGTGCAGAAGTTACAAAGAAATGACCTGATTCATTCCTACAAAGTGTAGGTACCTGTGTAAACAGCATCTGGATGGAATTTGAGTATGAACCAAACCCCCCAATTTCTTGGCATCACCTGAGTCAGGGTACAAGTGGTGGACCCTAAGGTGGGGGTGACAGCTAAGAAAGAAAGGTTCTGGTGGCCGGCACAGAGGTTGGTTAGAGACCTCCCTTAGCCCTGTGTGTCCTGGCCCACTCAGCGCCCAGCATTGCTGGTGCCCTAGCATCCCTGAAGTGACCCCTGCACCCCCAAACATTGCTCAAAAGATTCCCACCTCCTGAAAAGTGGAAAGGAAAGGAAGACCCTCTCAAGGGCAGGGCTAGCATAAGAGGTGAAGCATGTGCCCCCTGAGCATATGAGACCCTGAGCTTTGCACAGAACGGCACTGACTGAGATCAAGAAGGAACCTTCCAGACCGAGTGGTGAGGAGGGTCCTGTTCTAGGTGCAGAGAGGAGGCAAACATGTGTCCAGGAGGGGAGGCGAGGGCGGAGGAAAGGGCCTGTGAGCTGGTCCCTTGCTTCCTGCATGCCACCTGCTACTGCCCATCCCCAGCCACCTGCCCCCCCACCTCCTATATAGGCAAGTAAAGGACCCCACTGAAGCCCAAAGCTCAGAGACACATATCTCCTCCCTCCTCCTCCTCCAGCCTCTGCCTTTTGGATTGGCGAGGTTATTTTCATTCCTTAATATCCCCTGTTTTTTTTTCTTTTTTTATTAGTGAAAAACCATGAGGTACAGTTATAGGCTTACAAATTGTGTATCCCCTGTTTTTTATTTATTTTTTTTGCAGTCAAATTGGTTTACCCTTGGATATCCTGTGATTTGGCCTCCATAAGTTATTTTCATCCATTTATTGGCTTACAGGAATATAAATGTTGGTCTGATTTATGGGGACCACACTATCCTTACCACCGAAGTGCTGAGATCCATCTCCCACAGTCCACTGGACTAGTGCTTTACTACTGGTTCTGTGCTTGGGGATTGGGGGTCACTCCCAAGCAGTGGTTAGGGACAATATGGTGCCAGGGATTGAATCCTGACACCTCCTGTTTGTAAAACCTGCACTCAACCAGTGAGCTGTCTCTTCAGCCTGGCTCCATGTTTCTTTTTTAATCTTTATTAATTTTATTGTTATAAAGTTGTTCACAATAATTTATTACACTCAATATTCCAACACCAATTCCACCACTGTTAAACCTTCCCACCACCATTATTTCAAATGTTATTCAAACACCGGGAAAAGTATTCGTAACGCCCACCTGTCCTTCGCCAACTACAAGACTAAGATGACTGCCCTCCGACGTCCTGATGGATCCATCACATCCTCCAAAACGGCAATGGAGAAGATTATCCATGACTTCTACTCAAATCTCTTCGATAGCCATGTCCACTTGCCGACATACCAAATTCCACAGGATGGATATGTCGTTCCCAACGTTCTCCCTTCTGAAATCCAACACGCCATTTCGTCGGCAAAGAAGCAAACAGCACCCGGCCCAGACAAGGTCAGACCTGAACACCTGAAGAACCTGCCGTCAGTACTCATCAATACACTGGCTCGGCTCTTCACTCGCTACCTGTCTGAATGCAAGGTTCCGTCCCAATGGAAAACCAGCAGAACCGTACTACTGTTCAAGAAGGGAGACATCCATGACATTGGCAACTATCGCCCGATCTGCCTATTGTCTGTCATCTACAAGTTGTTCACTCGAGTCATCCTAAATAGGATTGGCAGAACACTAGATGAAGGACAAGCATGCGAGCAAGCCGGGTTCTGCAAAGGATTCAGCACCGTCGACCATATCCACACGATAACCAAGCTCATTGAGGTTTCTCGGGAGTTCAAGATGCCGCTCTGTCTAACGTTCATTGATTTAAAGAAGGCCTTTGATTCTGTTGAAATGGAAGCGGTCATTGAAGCCCTAGCCAATCAGGTCATTCAAGCCCAATACATCAAGATCCTCCGTGAGCTGTATTGCGGATTCACTACCAGGATCTCACCATTCTACAAAGAAGTGATCGTTGATGTCAAGAGAGGGATTCGGCAGGGTGATACCATTTCACCGAAACTCTTCAGTGCCACCCTCGAGAACATCATGCGATGACTGGAATGGGAAGGAATGGGAGTGAAGATAGATGGTCGGCAACTACACCACCTCCGCTTTGCTGATGACATGGTTTTAATAACACCAAACATCAGCCAAGCGGCACAAATGCTGGCCAACTTTGACCGTGAGTGTGGAAAGGTAGGACTACAGTTGAATCTTACGAAGACAATGTTTATGAGAAACAGCCTCGTTCCTGACACCCCATTCGCTCTCAACGGAACGACCATCTCCGAATGCAACAGCTATGTGTACCTCGGTCGAGAAGTCAACATGACAAATGACCTGGCACCCGAGCTGCGCAGGAGGAAGAGAGCGGCTTGGAACGCCTTCAAGAACGTCGAAGAAATAGCTAAGAGGACGAAGAACCTCCGGCTCTGGGCACATCTCTTTGATTCCACTGTTCTTCCTGCATTAACATATGCCTCAGAGACCTGGGCCCTACGCAAACAAGATGAGAACGCTATTCAGGTCTCCCAAAGAAGAATAGAAAGAGCTATGCTTGGAATATCACGTTTCACTCAAATGAGAGAAAGAATCCGGAGTTCTGACATCCGTCGACGATCAAGAATCAAGGATGCTGTCTCATTTGCCAAGGTGTCAAAAATCAGATGGGCTGGTCACGTAATGAGATTTAAAGACGACCGCTGGACTAGAGCTGTTACCGACTGGATTCCACAGGATGTCAAAAGACCACGTGGCCGCCCCCCTACCAGATGGTCAGACTTCTTCATCAAGATCATGAACGATCGGTTTGAGGCTCTTCATGTTCCCAGAGCGAACAGATGCCATTGGGTACACTAGCACGCGACAGGGACAAATGGAGACGTTACTGGCGCCCGCTTGAGCAAATCGGCGACTAACCGGAAGTTAAGTGATTAAGTTATCAAACACCACCCAAGCCTGTCCCAATAGCAGGCCCTAGATAATTTATTTTGTATTGCTTGTTATGAATGATTTGCTAAAAATGATTTAAAAAAAGTTTTCTTAGAAGGTGTGTGAAGGGGTTCGAGCGATAGCACAACAGGTAGGGCATTTGCCTTGCACACGGCCGACCCAAGTTCAATTCCCAGCATCCCATATGGTTCCCCGGGCACCGCAAGGAGTAATTCCTGAGTACATGAGCCAGGAGTGACGCCTGTGTATCGCCGGGTGTGATGACTCAATAAGGGGAAAAAAAAAAAGATATGTGAAGATTGTTGAATCTCACCCTGAAACTATTAAGCCCTTGTATAAGAGATTATTAACGTGTTATTACAGGTTGAGCCTTGTGTGCTAATATTTTTTTAATTGAGATAGGTCTCCATCTACTTTACACCCCATCCAATGTGTTGTGCTGCTCCCAGTCCATCAGTGGTGTAGAGGATAGGATGTTATTAATTAACTCCAGGAATTCTAAAATTTTAAATAGGGTGATCCAGCCAGTTGGCTCCATATTTTGAAAAAATTCCATCCTGGGGAGCTGGAGAGAGAGCACAGTGGGTAAGGTGCTTGCCTTGCTTGTGGCTGACCTGGGTTTGATTCCTGACATCCTGAGACCCCCAGGAGTGCAGAGCCAGGGATAACCCTTGAGCACACATTACACAGCACACCGGGTGTGGCCCAAAAAAGCAAAATTTAAAGCAATATTAAATTAATTAAATTAAATTAAAAACATTCTGTCCTGGGTTAGCTTAGTGTCCCATTATATACCTTTCTCATTTTTTGATTTTGTGTTTGTTTGGGGGAGGGTAGTGTTAAGGATCAAACCCAGCCCCGCAACTATGCAAGGCAAGTGCTTTGGTGCTGAGCCACGTCCCTGGTCCTTCTTCAGTTTTGACCATTTTCCTTTCTCTGATTTGAAATTTTCATATCTGCAAATACTTGTTTAAAAAAATTCAATTCACGCCGGGCCCTTGCGTTTTGTCTTTCAGCTGTTCCATCTTTCATGCTTGTGCTTTGAAGACTTCTTTGGACTGAAATGCTTTGATTTTCATTTCCTGCTGCTTATAGTAG